GGAACCCCTACCTAGCCGCCGAAGATGAACTGGACTCTTCAGTATGGAATACCCGCGGCTGGACCCTGCAGGAAAGACTCCTGTCACCACGAAAACTCTACATCGGAGTAACTGATATGCTCGGTCTAGGTTTACTTACCTGCCCCTCACCAAAAGATTATGGGCGCGATATCGAGCTGGCCAAACGCCCCCGACGCCACAAGTCACTAGATAAGCTAGAGATCGGCGGAAAATCATCTTCGACAGGCGCAGAAGGTCCCGACAAAACAGAATTATACAAAGCCTGGTACAAAATTGTGGAGGACTACACCTGTCGCGATCTGACCGTCCAAAGCGACAAGTTACCCGCGGTTGCCGGCATCGCGCGCACTCACGCTTTGGCTTTGAACGATGAGTACCTTGTCGGATTATGGGTCCAGGATCTAGCCTCGGGACTTCTTTGGGCCACTCGTAACGCGATGAATCCTGGGATGGATCGGTGGTTCGGGGAAAGAGAACGTCGGCCCATGATCCCAACGGAACATTATCGCGCACCGACATGGTCGTGGTGTGCCAATGATGGGGCGGTTGAGTTTCTTGCAAGTAATCTCTATAACCCGAGACCGGAAATTGAGGTTCTCGGTCACGATATAATCCCGCAGTACGCGGGAGACAGTTATGGGCAACTGGCAGTCGACCAAAGGGACCGGGGATATGTGAAGCTCAGAGCGAAGATTAGAGCGGCCCGGATGGAGGCTCGCTTTCAGCCAATACCAGAAGGCATGCTGTGGGCTTTCCCTGGACTGAAGAACCGTGATCCCGAGGAGGAAAATAAAAAGTTTCAATTGCGATATGTCCATGTGGCCGACGGTACTAAAGAAAGTGATAGTGAGACTATATTCCTGGATCATGCAGGGTGCTATCTTGACGAACAGGAAGTCTACCTGATGATCGTATCGAGAGGTGATGGGAAAGTATGGTCGGAGCCTGGTCAGTACGAAGATGGGGTCCAGTCTGCCGGATTGGTGCTGCTGAAGTGTCCAAATCAGACGAGATTGCAGTTCAAGCGGATTGGCTTCTATGAACATTTTTATGATTTTGGCCTCACCCCGGTCTTCGATGATTGTGAGCCGCAGACTGTCTATCTGGTGTGATCATGGCAGCCCCTTGCGGGAATTAGAGATGAAGCTTGGTAGACTAGATATTATCATGTAAGACCTCTATAACTAAAAATGTTTCAACCGTTCCTTTAGAGCACCTGCTTGCTCCAACAACCCCAAAGTAGCAACCTATGACGAATTTCCTTCTGTGATCCATATGATGACGGAAGCTTCTACCAATATACATGATCCTCAGGTAAAACAGATAGACTACAAGGTAACCGACGAACCAATACTCAAGGAGGAATATCCTTAACGGAGTTCCCTTCATGCCTTCGACTGGCTATTTTAAGATAAAGACAGGTAGTCCAATGCATCTGCAAAGCTTCCATCGGAGCTGGCAGGACTGCCGGGCTCTTGGAGCATATCTTCCTGTCGCGAGTCGACTCGGAAAGGTAAACAAGAGAAACATCCAGCCTCCATCAGGCTGTCCAGCGACTCATCCACAACTGGTCGCTGATTGATGATGGTCAGCAGCTCATCGAACGCAGCCGCCAACTTTTCTGTGAAATCAGGCCGCTGGCGCAGGTTATCAGAGAAATCCCCATGTGTATATCGATTGTCATACTTCGTTCGGAAATGGTCAGTTCCCGCGAGCATGTTAATGGTCTCCAAATCAGCATACGGCGCGACAATCTGCAAAAGATGCGGTCCCTTGAGACGGGGACAAGACGAGTACTCATGCCAACGATCAAGGATCAGCCGAAGGACATTGTGGCTGTTATAGGTAATTGCAGTCGTAAGGGGGGTCGAGTCATCGGCAGCAGTGGCGTTGATATCCGCTCCATATTCCAGCAAGAGCATAGCAAAACTGGGATTGTCGATGCGTGCCGCTTGGAGGAGGGCAGTTTTGCCATCTGTACCAGAGGCATCTACCTCTGCTCCAAAGTCCAAGAGACTCTTGAGCAATACGACACTTCGATAATTCCGTGCGGCACAGTTCAGAGGGCTCCCTTTTCTCACTCCTGTGAACTTGGCGGTGTCGGGATGTGCACCGGCTTCTAGGAGAAGACGAACACTGACAGTATTGCCTTGAGCCGCTGCATTTGATAAGGGGCCTGAGAGTTGCACATCCATGATATTGGGGTCAGCTCCCTGACTTAGCAGAGTGACGATCGCTCGAGTGTCCCCTCTTGCCGCTGCCCATGCTAGTGGAGTCCGGCCCATTGCATCAACAGCATTGATATCCTCAGGATGTTGAATAATCTCCTCCTCCAGGTTGTTCAGGGATATGCCTAGGACAATCTTGTGAGTCTGGGTAAAATTGGAGTTCTCTATGAATTCATCTAAATACCCGCCTTTTGTTATCGTGCGAAGAGCCTTGACGGCATTGTCTGGCAGCCCCCCTTCGAGAAGGAAATGGCAAGCTTTGTTTTTCGGGCTATTGTCGCTTGCAGCGATGGGTCTGTAGTCTGGGTCTGCGCCAGCATGAATAAGGAACTCACAAGTCTCATATTGTTTTCCGTACAGCGCCCATCGAAGGACGGAATATCCTCGAGTAGTACTGACATCCCGCGGAGAGGCGAGGCCATGAGTAAAGAGATATTTCAAGCCCTCAATATCCCCGTTGAGAGCAAAGTTCACGCACTGCGCGGTGTCCGGTACTCTTCTCAGCGTATCCAACTGCAACAGTGATCCAACATTAGGCTGATAGCCCACCTGCATTCTGACAATCGTGGATGACCAGAAGCCGATTGGGAACCAGTACTCCAGGCTGACTTGACTTGCTCGTGACTTTTGGCAGGTATCGAGAGTACATCTCGGACTAAAGGCGGGAATTCCGGAGTATCCGACAAAAAGCCGTCCAACAACCCGGTCAAGGAATGCAGGAGTCGCTGACTTCTTCTCACGATGGCATGCGCAAATGCACTTTGGTCCACAGGTAACGATGAATGGTGCGACTCTCACACCGATACCCTCCGAGCGCGGGGAAGCGGGTAGCACGGTGGGTTGAGATATCCCTGGCAGCTTTTGACGAGGTTGAGATGCAATGTATGACGAGCCCACCTGGATGGTTTGGCTTTCACTGACTTTAACGGCCTGCTCGCGAAGCATCTCTTCTACCCTTGCTATGCGCTCGTTAACTGCCACAAGAGCGCCGCTAAAATGGTTTTGCAACGCAACCTGTTGCTGCTGCATTGAATGTGCTGTTATTGTAGAAAACGACTCGATTTCCAGACGGATTTTCATCATATCATGCCTATCATTCGAGGTCAGCTTCGGCGATAGCCCACAATGTAAGACAATCCCATGTTAGGACACTGACGAATTTGAAGCCCCGAGCATGATATTTAAGCTGCCCTTGATCGTTCGAAGATCATCTTGCAGCACCTGTAACTTAGTCTGCTCCTCCTTCCGCCAGGAAAGAACCAAAGATATGGGCACTCGTCCCGCACGACAGACAGCAGTGAGCTTGCAAACAATAGCCTTCAGCTCATTCAGCTTGGTATGTGCCTGCTTCAAGAGGTGGGGAATGGAGGATAGTTCCTTCTCTAGTAAGGTTTGCCGCTTGTTCACCACAAAGGCAACTTCCAGAGGACTACTTCCAGATCAGCAACCTCATTGTTGACAGCGTGCAGCCGACCAGGCAGACACTTGTACAAGGATCGTAGTTCCGACAACTTGGAACAGACTTGAGCGGCTAATGTTGCGATCGCAATAACGCTGGAACTGATCGATAGTGGATCCATGGTTGGCAGCCGACCGAAGGATGAGCCGCCAGCGGAGTGAGCAGAGGCCGCAGAAATTCCGGGAGAGCAGTCTAACATTGGAGCCCATGACATTAGTGGTAGAGAACAAAAGTACCGTTCATCTGATGTTTACTGGTAGCGGAGTTCATTAATCCCGCTTCTAGCAGATTGGGTTCGAATCCGAACTTGGCCGGTCTCACAGCGGCTCGACAATCCAATCGTCATCTCCAGTCGGGTAATATTGAGTAACATAGATGTACCACCAACGCTAGCTGGGCTTGAGTTACTAAGGCATCTCTATTATGAGCAGCAAGAGTCTGCGCTTTTTCTGATGGATTCTGCTCAAGTGAGAGGCTGTGGTGGCAGACTGCTGTAGCAGTCCTGATAGCACTTATCGTCCTCCGTCCTTTCGGATCACATTATGAGAAGCCAAGTGGTAGAAATTTAGGTTCAGTCAGAGAATGAATTACAAGTTTTGCGTTTGGGGAAGCCTTCCCACTTCTAAGTTTGTTCCGGATTAAGCTTCAGTCAAACGCGGATATTCGCGCCATTCTCGTAGAGTGGCTAGCAGTATACGAGCCTTGGGCTACCACGGCCACTCCAGTCAAGATCTCCCATCTGCCCTCAGTCACCCCGACTACGGGTTATTGGCTGATCCCGTAAATAGCGCGATGGTCGGCTACTCTTCTCGGTGCCTGTCTCTCTGACAGCTACTGTCCTGTATGTTGTATGCCATCTGGTGCCGAGAATACCACAACCACGGGGATGAAGTGTGTGTTCCTCCTCGGCTTCCTCCGAAAGTTATATCACCAACATTCCAAAAAGTATCAAGCCAAAATAGCGCAAAGGATGTTAGGGTACTGACCTACCTTTTATGAAGCAATCAGGCAAGCTACGTAAAAATCCGCGAAGACACCAAGAAGGATGCGGTTCGAAAAGCCAAGAGAGGTCATGTAGCACAAGGCTTTGGCCTACAAGAGTATCGCTGCTTTATTCTCTTTTAACTTTCTTTCCTTTGTTACCCCCTTTCTTACAACCGTTTGTTGTCTCCTACCTTCGGGCGCCTGTACTTCGGTCTGCCCCTCAGTTGTGAGACTCCCGTACAACACATCGCAACTCTCTCTTAATCTCCCTCTTTCAATTCTTGGGTGAGCCCGCCTAAATTTGCAACATGAGATTCGGTCGAAATATTTACCTCCATCAAGTCCCAGAATGGGCGGAGCATCATGTTCCATACAATCGGCTCAAAAGACTGCTGAAGATCGCTGTTGAGAAAGCTACAGAGGAGCAAACTCGTCCCGACTTCTCAGGTTCGTTACTTGAAAGAAACTCAAAATTATGATGATTACGGGTCTTAACTTTATACATGTTTTACCTGTTAATAGATGTGCAATCATGTCTAAACCTGAGCATCGCAGGTCATCTTCGGTTTCGCATAGAGCAAGAAAGCTATCTTCGAAAGCAAGCAGAAGAGATACAGGGCCATTACCGCATCAGCCTTTGCAAATTCGATACAACTACGGCGTACAAGCTCTCCCGGCTTGACATTGAGATCCTTTGCCAATCGCTTTCTAGGTTAACTAAGGAAATTTCTCAACTGCAGCGGTACCAACGGTTGGACGTTGAAGCGGTTTCTCGTATCCACACAAAGATTGACAAATACATGGGTAGGGAGATAAACCGATCTGCTGGACGAAATGATCTGGACAAATTCAAGGAACAAAATCCATCGAGGAAAGCTCTGGCTCGAAACCTTGGATTATGGATTGCTCATCTACAGGAGGCACTTTCAGATCCCAGCAGCAGGCCGGTCTACCCACAATCCCCACTCTATGAGGCACTACGGCAGGATCAACCTTCAATCGTGGTTTCTATGGTAGATAAGTCCTTACAGCAGAGCGAATCATCAGCAAAACCATTTCTCTTCCATCTGCTGGAGCTAGCAGTATATGAACTGCGACCACATACTGTCTACACTTTACTGTTTGATGCGCTGCCTCAAAATGATATCCCCATTCAGGCTGCATTATTGAATCGCTTGTTCACGGTTCTGAGTTTCCGGAAGATGCAACTATCGGCGCCGTATTCCTGTATACTCTTTTGTAAAATCCGAGATCTGCTCTGCCAGGTGATTGGGGAGCTGGGACCCAGATCAGAGGAGGTTCTACTCTCGGAAGATACTCTCGGGCGCTTCCCTCTGCACTATGCTGCTTCATACGGTCTTTTGTGGGAGTGCGTGGCAATATTTAACGTCGCTAAAAGCTGGAACAATTATTCCAAATGGTGCCTTATTATGCATACTGACAAACTAGACTGTTCACCTTTTGAGTATGCGGCTGTTGGCAACCACCGAGACGCCGTATCATCTGTTCTGGTTTACTTGGAAAAGGTCCTGCACGCATCCGATAAGGATGACGGAATAGCACCATTGTTCACTCGAACGCTATTTACTGCGTTGCACTACGAGTATGAGGATATGATTTCGGTCATCTCTCAGGCATGCTCTCGCTTCTGTCGGACGCCCAGGAACTGTGAAGGGGCCAGCCCACTGCATGTCGCCGCGCGTACCGGAAGGGCGGATCGCGTCAAACAACTGTTAGAAACCGTATGCGTCTCTGAGCTCAACTCGGTGGAGCCAATCTACGGTTGGACCCCGCTAGTTGTCGCTTGTGTCGAAGGTCACCAGAGTGTCGTCGCTGTGCTTCTCGAGCATGGAGCCGACCGGGACATTAAGGACCACCGCGGTTGGACAGCACAGGAGCATGCCGCTTTTCGGGGACATCTTGCTTTGGCGAAGGGAATGACAGGGCCATCCAAGTGGGAGTCCGATACCGATGTGCTAACTGCCGCATCAATGGTGCAGCAGGATGACAATGTCAAGGCTCTCCATCAACGGCCGCAACTGGTGGTTTACCTTGGCAGCTTGCAGGATGGAAAGCAGGTGAACCCATTTGAATGTCGAACACCATCACTGAAAACAAAAGCCACGGGCAATGACCTTGCACTGAAAGTTTCTTCTCCTGGGAATGACTCTGCCCGTCAAATTAACATGTCCTTTCTCGGTGACACAGCTAACGAATCATTTATCTTCGAGCTTCCAACCACGGGCGAGGCAGAACTGCGCCTAGAACTCCTCGATTTAGGCGATGGTCGTGACGGCCAAGCAGAGTTGCTTGGTGGTGGTACAGCGCTGCTGATAGACAATCTCAATTCCTTTGGTGAGAACAGGGAAAGCTTGGTGCGCGAGAGAAGTATTCCCATTCTCGAGAGCAGGTCATTCCAGGCTATAGCTACGGTGACCTTCACATTTCTTATAATCAAGCCATTTCAGCATCCCAACATCCCCTCTGTGAGAGAATGCTTTCTCCGTCATGACGACTTTTGTCTCGTAGGACATCGAGGTAAGCATACAGGCTGAGGTGTATTTGCGGTCGCCGCTGACAATGTACAGGCTTCGGACAAAATGTTGCCGGGCATGACTATTTACAGTTGGGAGAGAACACAGTCGAGGTGAGTGTCAACTTATCTAACTAGACTATATGCTCATTTCTCCAAGTCATTCCTATCAGCTGCCAGTCTGGGAGCTTCTTTTGTCGAGGTAATGTTGAACTTCCGTATTTTAAGTTACTGGTCTAACGTGTTGTAGTTTGGTATGTTATTTGCTGTCTATCTTTTTATATCATGTACATCATGTGCTAAAGTACTCCAGATGCTCAGTTGACCAGGGACCTTGTACCTGTTGCATATCACGACTTTTCCTTGAGTGAGTCTGGGACTGACGTCCCAGTGCATGATGTGACTTTAGACCAGGTTAGCAGTATTACTTCTACGCACTACTTGAAATTGATCTAACTTTCTAGTTCCTGCATGCGAGCAAGATACAATCCCCAATGGGCCATCCAACATCCATCATGGGAAGCAGACACCACCATAAGATTTCACGCTCCCGGTCTCTTACCAGGGGTTACGAGCAAGGAGCGCAACAAATGCAAGAGAGGATGAGACACACGGTAGACTACATGAGCAAAGGTTTCAAGCCCAACACCCGAGGCCACGTTATCCAGGACTCGTTTGCAACCATCGAAGAGCTACTAACCCTGCTTCCGGAGAACCTTGGTTTCAACGTCGAGATCAGTGAGTCGTCCCCATATCTCATCTCAGAGGACATTGCTGACAATGATATAGAGTATCCCCGACCCCACGAAGCCACCGAAGCAGGAGTAGCCCCAGTAGCGATCGAAATTAACATATTCGTGGATAAAATCCTCGAGAAAGTATTCACCCTGGGGAACAGCAGAAACATTATCCTGTCCTCATTCACCCCCGAGATCTTCATTCTCTTGGCACTCAAACAGCAAACCTATCCAGTCATGTACATCACCAACGCCGGAAAACCCCCAGTCACAGACAGAGAGAAGCGAGCCGGTAGCCTGCAAGCTGCAGTGCGATTTGCCCAGCAGTGGGGCCTCAATGGAATTGTTCTGGCCTCCGAGACTTTGATCATATGCCCTCGGCTGATCGGATACGTCCAGCGGTCGGGGCTCGTGTGTGGCTCGTATGGACCACTCAATAATATCCCCGAGAATGCACAAGTGAGTCATTTATCCCGAGGAGTAACTCGGAAATATACTACCTCTACCTACGTAGCTCCAAGTCGATGCTGGCATCAATATTCTGATGGCCGACCGGGTCGGGCTTATTGCCAAAGCACTGGAGGACCGAGATGGCGATGATCGGCGACTGAAGAACTAGCGGTTGCTCCGATCGGGTGCATGTATAGTGGCGACATAGAATTATCAAGAATTCAAAGATCTTACGAAATGATTCCACATCTACATATTTTGGTATTTCCTTCATTCTAAATGCACTTGGGATTTCCGTGGAATCTAAAGACTGTGTGGGAATGCCGAATGCCCACTGTAGGATATTCGCCGTTTCGGACCGCGGCGGATGAGGGTGGAGGGGCCCGGAACGGTGCCGTCGATCGTCAGCGATAAGGTGGTGATCCCAGGGGAGAGTGAAGTCATAGCTTAGTGGAAGATCTCCAAGTTAGTTAGTTATTTCAGCAGTAGCATGGTTTTAGTCAGTCGTGGCTAATCCGAATAACTTCAGAATGGGCAGACTACTGAAGTGTACGTTGAGCGAAAAGGACGAGCCCCAGAAAATAGGCAAGAGTCTAGCCTAGGCCAATTTCCTGGGAGGGACAAAGGCAGCTTGAACCCTGAAAAGGGCAGCTCCACTGGTTCGCCCATGCGATCATCCGTGGGTCTCCCTTGTTGCTCTGCCATGAAGCATTTCCACTATGGCGTCACCAGCCGGGCCTCCGCCAGGGTTCCTTTTGACATCAACTGTCCACACTTTTTGCTCGGCTGTGTTTTTTGCTTGTGGCTGTTCTTTCTTTCCGCAATCATTGAGTTCTAGTTCCTCATCGATTGTCTTTGAACACATCAACGAAAGTCTCAACTTTTCCTTTTGGCCGCACATGGTCGACTCCGTCTATCTCTGCTAGCAGAGATGCCGCATCAAGATGGCGCAACGGCCGACGACTGGCCGGACGAGCACATTGCTCAACAAACCACCAACACCGCCAGTCGTGGGCGGACTCCTCGGCGCGCGCATTATCATGAGAAGGGACTAAATACAGGAGTCCGGGTAATGGGTGCGCACATTGTCTATCCCTCTAAATCTCACACTTCCTTCTGGAATCGCAATTCCAGCTACTAACTATCATGCATTCCACTAGACGATGGCCGCCTGGACATCAAGATCCGCGAACGCAAACCCTGGGTATCCAAAATCATTAGACACCTCCAACAGCAACCCGAACCCCTCCGTGAAGAGCGCAAACCATCTGTCTGCCTTGTCGAAGAAGGGAAACCCCCCTGCGCCCTTAAACTCAACATCGTCATCCAAGTCGTCGGCTCCCGCGGCGACGTTCAACCCTTCGTTGCGATAGGCAAAATTCTTAAATCCCACGGTCACCGCGTCCGTCTCGCCACACATCTCGCCTTTCGTGAATCGATCGAGCATGCGGGTCTCGAGTTTTTCGATATCGGCGGTGATCCGGCCGAGTTGATGGCGTTTATGGTACGGAATCCGGGCCTGATGCCGCATATGAGTACCTTGCGTAGTGGGGCTATCCCGCGCCGGAGACGCGAAATGAAGGCCATCTTCTCGGGTTGTTGGCGCTCGTGCTATGAGACCGGTGATGGGACTGGGATGCATCATATTCCGGAGGATCCGTGGAGTGAGACGGCGGATTATCGGACGATGCCGTTCGTGGCGGATGCTATCATTGCGAATCCGCCAACTTTTGTGCACTTGAGCTGTGCTGAGAAGTTGGGTATTCCGTTGAATATGATGTTTACGTGCGTGTCCCCTTCCAAATTGCAAGATGATTCAATAAGCTGATCAAAAGGGTGTAGAATGCCCTGGTCGGCAACACAGTCTTTCCCTCATCCGCTGGCGACTATCCGCACAAAAAACACGAAGCCCTCCGCCGCTAATTTTGCTTCGTATGCCATTGTCGAGATCCTCATGTGGGAGGGCCTGGGAGATCTGATCAATTCTTTCCGAAAGCGCGATCTCGGGCTGGACCCGTTAGACGCTATTCGGGCACCGAGTATCGCGCACCGATTGCGCATCCCATACACTTATCTCTGGTCACCAGCCCTCCTCCCCAAACCCGGAGACTGGGGAGATAATATAGACATCACCGGCTTCTCATTCCTCTCTACCGCCTCAGACTACACACCGCCCGACGATCTGGTCAACTTCCTCGAATCCGGCCCTCCTCCAATTTACGTCGGCTTTGGCTCCATCGTCGTAGACAACCCGGGCTCACTAACGAAGAAAGTCTTCCAAGCCATCCGCGAAAGCGGGCAACGGGCGGTCGTCTCCAAAGGATGGGGTAACCTCGGAGCAGACGAAGACGAGATCCCAGAAAACATCTTCATGATCGACAAATGTCCACACGACTGGCTCTTCCAGCACGTGTCCTGCGTTATTCACCACGGTGGAGCGGGAACCACAGCCGCCGGGCTAGTACTAGGTCGTCCGACCATCATCATCCCCTTTTTCGGCGATCAGCCGTTCTGGGGCTCAATCGTGGCTCGCGCTGGCGCTGGCCCGCTGCCTATTCCGCATAAGCAGCTAACGGCAGAGAAACTAACGAAAGCGATCAAGCAGGCGCTTGAGCCAGAGACGTTGGAGAAGGCGAAAGAAATCGGAAGGGATATGCGTAATGAGCGGGGTGTGCAAAATGCCGCTGCTAGCTTTTATCAACATCTAGATGTGCAGACTATGCGGTGCTCTATCTGTCCAAATCGGCCGGCTGTGTGGTGGGTGAAGCACTCGCATATCAAGCTGAGCACATTTGCTGCGGCGGTATTGGTGGAGACTGGTTTGATTAGTCCGCGAAATGTTGTCCTGTATGTCCTGTGCAGTTTATCTCTTGTGCATCCAGGGTTTGTGACTAACGGAGGATGCAGATATCGGTCACACGAATACGACACCAATCGAGATCCTCGGGGACCATTGTCAGCCGGTGCGGAGGTTCTCTATGGTATCGTCTCGGGTTTCATCACCAGCATCGCGGAGGCGCCTAGCGGAATGCGAGGCATATTCTCGACAACACATGAACGTCGACTCCACCACAAACATGATTGGAAGAAAGGGCTTCATCCGTCCTATCTCGATAAATCGTCCTTTCACCGCCACCGCCGTGGGCGAACAGAGACGTCTCTCGATTCGGGCGTCGGGGCTGATGTGATCCCGAATGGTGACAACCAACACTCGGTAACAGCGGATCAGAACCAATATGAGAATGGTGAGCGCGAGCAACCCTCCTCCAACGAGAACTCTCGAGGTTCAATCGAATCCGACGAAGCCTATCACTCCGCTGGGGAAGACATAACCCAAGATCAGGCCATTCCCGACCGACAGCAGAATAGAGACGGAGCCACCAACAGCCCCAGCGGTGGTGAATTATCCAGCCCGCGCACAAGCAGCTCTGACACCGAGACGTTCGACACAACGGATGATGATATGGGCGCGGAGCTTGATCTCGAGCGAACCATTACTCGATTGCGAACTAGGGAAATGTCTCATACAAAGGAGATCCTAGCTGAGACGTCGTATCATAGCGCCCGTGCGACAAAGCATATTGCGAACTGGCTTATTAGATTGCCTACGGATCTGACTTTGAGTCTGACGAAGGGGTTTCACAATGCCCCCAAACTGTATCATGATACCTTAGTGGAGGATTCGCCACGAGTGCTTGGAGTGAGGAGCGGGTTCCGCGCTGCTGGGACGGTATGTTCTCTCATTTCGCGCAAGGAATGAGATGGGATTGCTGATGAGTATAGGAATTCACGCACGGATTCTACAACGGCATTACCGGACTTGTCACACAGCCTGTGGTCGGGATAGAAAAGTCCGGTGCAAAGGGATTGCTGACAGGTATTGGGAAGGGCGTAGGTGGTGTTTTTCTCAAACCCACTGCTGGTGAGTTTCTCCTCGACAAAACTGGCGATGTAAGAGCTAACTGAAACCTACTTAGGCCTCTGGGGTTTGGCAGGCTACCCACTGGAAGGGATGCACAAGAGTCTCCGCAACTCGCTCTCGAAGAGCAAGACGAAAGATATTCTAGCTTCGCGTATGCAGCAGGGTATTGAAGAGATGTGTGCGGCTACAACGCAAGAACGATCAGCGGTGATCCAGAAGTGGCACGAGTTGCAGAGGGCGGGGCTGGGACAGATGAGTGAGCGCGAGCATGAGCATGGGCATCATGGTTCGTAGGCAGATATACCCGATGTATTATTACTTTTTTTTTCTATTTTCTCCGTGTGATATACATTCACGTTCTTGGTGTATAGCTATGTAAAACAAATGTATACTAGGTGTCTATAGCTGACCATAGTTCTTCGCGATATGTGATTGATAAGTGAAACTTTTCTCTGTCACCATAGGTTACTATCCTGAGGGATGGCCTAAGTGGTGAAGGACCACCTGCTCCCGTGTGTACATGTCTATATGAGCAGGATTCTAAGGGTCCGCAGGTAAGTGCGGGTAATGATGGTCTTGATGACCTTTTTGGCCTTGTGGGAACAACACCCTTAGGTTGTTCTTTGACATTCTTGTGTACAGAAAGCTACTGGAATATATCAAATAGTTAAATCAAGGCCTAAGAAGCAGGAAAAGGTTATAGAAGCGGTCTATGTATGACGCAGTGCTCGCTGCAAAGACCTATCGTGATCATGGTCTTCTTTATGACACAGGGACCTCGCACCACAGTATAAACTTTGCGCCTTTCATGACACGGAATATTCCAGTTACCAGAGTGAAACAATAATACGCTACTGTAATTACTTGAGGAATTTCTTTGTATAGTGCAAAAGTGAAACACTCGAGATGTCGTCCCGTACGATGCGTTCTTCTTGTCCACAGCAAGCATCAGAGTTGGACCAGCTTCAGTCGCCTGGTGCTGGTTACGCTTGGTTTTATACGCCAATATACATGCTAAATCGGTCAGCACTATACCAGCTGGCCCTAAAGAACTGGTATAGGGTCCTAACAGCGCGCCAGGGAAGGGTTGTAACGTAACACAGGCGAAAAGTCACAACACGGCTAAACCAGTGATTCATAAGCACACAGTAAATGCAATCGATTAAAAAGCGCCAAGTACGGAATTTTCTTCCAAAATTCTGGGGAATTTGAATCATTAATGGGGAAGTCTGCGGCTCGGTCCTGATTAGAATCGATGAGGAAGGGATGGCCGCTCTTAAGGGAACACATGGCAGCATTCAATCTTCGAGTACCTCAACTCAGGTCTCACCATCACATTAATTGTCCATGGTACGAACCACAGAGGTGGCAGCTTCTGCGGAGCTTATATACTGAACGAAAGACCCGAAAGATGCACGAATACTACTAGTAAGGTTGGAGCCAGATATACCATCCGGTGCATCATAATCGATACTGAAAATGGACACAGCGCTCTTGCAACCTGAGGAGGTGAGTTCAGTTTCGGACGGAAGAGAACAATCACCATTTATACATGTGTCAAGTGCAGCCGCTGGATCGACTAAAGTCTCTTGCATAAGACCGGTAGTCGCATTATAGCTGATACCAAGAGACCATGCGTCCCCAGTGATGCGAGTATGGAAAAACTCTGGCGCAATGCATTCGTCGGAGTTCGTGGAGGTGATAGTTGGCATGTTGACATTGATTCCGTAGCCGAGCGGAAGAAGTCGGCGGCCCTTCATCCTGAGGATGAGATTCTGCGCAAAGGCCGCCGATAGCTCACCCACAATAGTCTGTGGGTTCTTGAGGCCGACAGAGGTTGTGGCATTGACTTCTTTATAGGAAGTCTCATCAGAATTTTCAGCGGAGAAGGCAATGGCGGGTATTCCTCGACCGATAGCATAGTAGGTAGCGCCAATAGTGCCGGAGCTGGTAAAAGCAAACCCACCCACATTGTCGCCGTAGTTAGGTCCTGACATTACGAGGTCTGGCTTCGACACATTGTATTTCGGTAGAACATAGTCAATGCCCACCGCAGCAGCTGCAACAGGACTGCCAGCATAGTACCAGATATGATCGTCCTCAACATCATGGCCAACTGAGGGAGCGCCAGCTTTGACAAGACCTAGATGAACTACGTAAATATTTTACTGGGCCCATGCAATTTGGGGTGCATACTCACCAAATTCTGTGTCCTCAGTCAAGTTGGCCGTTGTAGCAAAAGTCAATGACCCTCCTTTGCCGCTCTGGTCAGTGGCCGGGGCTACGATGAAAACGTTATGCCCATACGCCTTGACGGCCTTGTACATCTCTCTGATGTTACCAGTACCGAAACCGTCGTCATTCTTCAAGGTCTGTCGTCAGCAAATGCATATGATGGACTGTAGTACATCGCAACATACTGTAATGAGGATATTGAGTCCATTAACAACAGAAGAGAGAGTGATAAGCGAAGCAGCGCTAGAGGAAATCTTGGTGATGCGCATCTTGACGGGTATCCTGATTATGGGTGTTTTGATCAGTTGTCAAGTGCCGTATGTCAACGTGTCGATTGGCCGGGAATCTGAACTACTATATACTAAACCTCGGGCCTCAGAATACTGGATTCTTCTTCCAGCGCTCAAATAGCAATTCGTAGGATTTGTGGCCACAACACGTAAATCAAACAGCTATACACTTGGTTTAGCATCGTGTTCAAGGGCGACCATGACATTGGTCAGAAGTATGCTGCGACAGGAACGCCACAAGCATCGGCAAGGTCGGCAAAGCTAGTACAGTTTTTATAGCCAATTCCATCGGTTAAGATTTAGAGATAACACCATCTCTAATTCCACGTCAAAGAGTAATATAGAATATCCACTGCAATGGACTGGTGTGTCGGCCTCAATGTAAAGAATTTACTGCAAATGCCTAGGGGAGCTCCTGACAAATCGCAATAAAAATCTTAGCGAAGCGAGTCATGTACAAATTAGATTCCGTAGCCAATCTTTCTGCATCCATTTCCCACGTGAACAAACTAAGTTAACCGAGAGGGAATAAACCTTTGCCGGATGGGAGGAAATGCCGTAAGCCACCTACATCTTAAATCAGTAATGGCTAGCACAGTTGCATTAGTTACCGCGACTAAACCCGGGCTACTATAGGAATTTTTGCCTAGGGCAAATTGGTATTTATGTTTCTAGTCTTCGAGACCCGGCGCCTCAACGCTGTATTCATGCCTATTGGCCCGAGACAGCGGCATGATGCGTGTTCCTGCACGTGGTTCGTATGTAATTCCGATCTATTACGAAGCCGGCTACCGATGTGTTTGCTCATTGAATTCAGCCTCAAGCATAATTCATAAATCATCATTGACCCTCTTGAGTAGCTCCTTGAACGCCCCGTCTGGCTTTGGATCGGTAAACTGCTCCAGTATTAGGCAGGGTTTGCTGAGCAACTTCATTGGGTGAATAAATAAATGCCAGTGTAACAACTCAGCCCATTTTTGACACGTTTCGGTCGAAACAGCGAGATCAGCAGGGGAAGTGACTGTTTTCAATTGGTTATAATCTTGGCCCCGTTATTATAAATACTACTTTGTACGTAAGATCTGATGATCCAAGTCCGTATATGCTATAGAAATGTAGGAAATGTGGATGAGTCCGCGGGTGTAATTTACCGGGAGTTATCCTAGTAACGCGCGTGGAGTGCGATCGATCAAGCCTATCACGACAAAGGTCTTCTGTGCGGAATCACCCACTGTATCCTTGCCATTTAGTCCATGCAATAGCCGACATTAGGCCCTGGCCTTGCATCGGCGAACCGAGTAGAGGTAGCAAAGTTGAGGAGAAAGCAGGTGGAAAACACGCGTGGTGGGTTTCATGCAGCAGGCGTTACTCCGAGATGGAAAAAGGAGCAGCCACGAGCCAGTCATGTATGATACATCTCGAAGCCAGAATCGAGAATGGGTAATCCTCGCGTGTGCATAATGTCCAGAGCCTATGTGTGCAGCTTGAGGCGTCACACTAGGCCGCATAGTAATCGTATGCCAAATAGTTACAAATCATGGATATCGGGGTAAGTGGATTATCTGAGATCTTGGTGGGCTATCCAGTGAAGATTGAAGCTAGAGTCCTTATACCTTGTTATAGATGCTTTTCTTCCTGAATGATGCGACTAAATAGCCATAATTATGTTTGGTGCGCATTTGTCTCCAGCACTCCACGGCAGCCCACTTCACATAGAGAATCTTCAATCAGAGCTTCTCCTCGCTGACACCTTATTGTTTTTGGAGTATCGCCTTTCTACTAAATTGGCAATACCTGAAAGACATGGACCTGACAAACCTCACTTTCTACAGTACCTTCAATTTTATATAGCGCATTGGATAATATGTTAGCTTGCGCCAGTCCAATGCAGTTGGTAGGATTATCTCCACCTCCAGTTTCTGCAGGCAGCAGTGACCAGCGGGAATTCTAAACAGTGAGGAGAACTTGCCATTCTGGTTGGACACAGCTTCGCGGCATCCCCAAAAGGGATGTATAGATGGGGTGGGGTTGGGGTGGATTGGGTTGACAGCTGATCCAGTGATGGAGAATTCTCCTTCTTAGCCGAGTGTCGATGCTTTCTATGCTTGCTCCCGAATCCGCAATCAGTAATGATACTGTCCGGAATAAGCTCAAATTGACTGTGTCGCAAATTTCTGCGCTGATCGCAGTGCCTTGATCATCCAGGGAGCGGGAGGAAACGACTAGATAGTATTTGGCAGGTGTACACTACACAAATGCAGCATAGTCTACTGTTTCTGTCACATTCGAGGTGGAAAGCTGCTGGGCAGTCTTGGGCGTCAGCTCCTTGAGTCACTTCAATGCTGATACTGCTTGGGTTCCCGTTTTCGCTGCCATGGCAGCATTGATTCAGGATGGCCCCTAGCAGTTTCATAGCGAACTGGGCTAGCACTGGTATTTCTTCGACGAACAACCGTCCTGCTGGTTGCTGCCTGAGGCAAAGGCTCCTTGTAGGGTGGGTGAACGATGTTTTCTGCGGTTAAACTAATGCCTCCGACTCTCTGGCCCAGTGAAGAGGCCCTGGCATCATTCTCCTTGGCAACTGTATTGTGTTGGCCACGGCAGAGGGGCCAAGCACCTACTGAGTATAGCTGTCTATAAACGCAATGGCACCTTCTTATCAATTATACGAACTTTCACCACTTCGCCGTTCATAAAGAGGATGAGTATAGGCGACAAGGAAGAGCCCTGTAGTAGCTCTAGGTGATTAATGAATATCACCGCCGAACAGTACTTATTGACAGCAATCCGTACACGTCGCTCGGTACAGAAGAATGGTACCCACCGTCCTAGAATTTCCGAGAGTCGATATTCTGACAGTCGGCGCAGAGGACCTCTTTGGGCACGCATTATGTGCACCTTTGACGTCGAGGCTCAGTAAACTAAGGACATTTCCTGACCTCAACCGTCGTAACTTTTTTTCGTTCAAGATATTTAGCGCTTGCTCACAGGATTATCTGCTGCATGCAGCGAAACAGTTTGGTAGCAGAAATTGATTTTTCCTGATGAGATAGGAGATCCACTTGGTTACAACTGCATCCATTGCTTTTGCAGAAGTTGGAAGGAGGGATATCGGCCAATAGGATTTGAACAGCGTCCGATCTTTGTTGAACTTGTAGATAATGATGATATTTGCTGTTCTCCAGCTTTCAGGCATACATCCCGGCCTTAGTGACGCGTTGAATATCTGGAAGATCCGTTTCCCCAATGCCGGCCACGCTTCTTGTCATCCTCCCATCAGAAACCCGTCCTGTCCGGGAGCCTTCCAGGATTGAGCACCCCTAACGGCAGGCTCAACCTCCTACATCAACGGTCCGAATGATAGCGACGGCAAGGGCCTCCCTGTAGTAGTTTGCTGCTTTTCTTGTATGAGAAGAAGAGTGGGGGAAGAAGGACGACAGAATACTTGAGCCTTCCCCTCATCATTTTCCACCATCTTGTTGCTTGTTCGTAGCGCTGGAACTGTTTTAGCTCCGCTTTTATTGGAGAGGTATTTGGCCACCTTCCAGATATAGGCGTCTCGTAGGAAGCCGTCCCAGTGTCTTCGTTTCTCATCACGAATTGCAGTGCGAAATCTTTAGCGAAATACGCGTACCGCTTCTTCGTTATCAAGGCGCAGGAAGCCGTAACCCTGCTTCACGTGCGTTGATTACTCACCGAGGGTAATCCTTACGCAGTACTGTCAATCCAGCAGTCCACCATCTCTTACAGTACGGGAGAACCTTGACTTTGGGCAGACTTGGTTAAGGGCCCAAGTCACCTCCTGAATCAGGACCTATGACTGTTGTTCAAGGTTTGCTGACGTCCCAATATAGACTGGTTTGTCCTGAAGGTTGGACAGGTTTCTACTTTCGTCGTGTTCGTGTCGCGATCTTCTTCGCGCTTCCCCTTCCGCCAACATTTGCTTCGGATCCTATTGGAGCTAGGAATGCAGGTGACTAGGTAGGTGTTGAACTCCATACTGTCATATTCGGCATGTAATAAGTAGAACACAGGAAATACAATCTATTCAAGGAATGTGTAGTTGTTGAAAATACAAGCGATATTTGACTGGACATGGATTTCAAATCCAGGTCTGATTGGGGCCGTGGTAGCATGAAGGACGAGGTCAATCTGGCTGAGGTGTTGTGAGATATTACATCAAGGTACTGACTCTAGTGGATGAATGACCTGGCGGGGCGGGGACTGCCCACGAAGGACGTGGAACCCACGGGGAGCAGCGGGGGTCTAGCGAGTTCGGCCGCGGCGGTCAAGGGTACAACTTAAGGTGATGCAAAGACCAGTTGAATTCTACCGAGAAGAGGGTAATTCAGGTGTTTCTTCGGGCACCCCTTGTTTTAGGCAGCCAGAGTATACGAGAGAAAGTACTAGTAATCTCATCAGACTTGACTATTTCTTTTCTCTCTCAGAATTCCAGCCCAAGTACGAAGTGAGCGATTAGCAGCTTAGATTCTGTGTGTTCATCATGTTAAGGTCGTCCACTGGACCTAGCTTAGTGGTGACCCCATCGTCCCGTGGGCTCCATCGCTCGTGCGTTCTGGCTTCAGCATTTCAAACTATTCAGGCATAAGACTGCCTCCTTTCTTTCATGCTGGAAGGGCCCGTTGACCCTTAGTGTTGTCTAAAGCATCGAACCTATCGCCAATCTCTCACTCCGGGAAAGCTTCTGATAAAGGTCAAATGACCCTTTCAGAACTCCTTCCGGGATAGCAATCTGCCCCACAAAGCCTGGGATTTTGAAATTGGTATGTAGGGCATTCCCACAGGCGTATATTGTTGTCTGCACTATTCATTGGGAGCGATGCATTCCTCTCCCAAGGGGACAATGCGGTGGCTGTGTCGCTGATGAAGTCTTATCTTGGGTATCCCGAATATGGTGCCTCTGCCAACTGCAAGCTCTTGAGTGTTTTATTCAAAGCGTGTCGATATCACCGATTGCCCTAGCCGTCCGTCCTTGCAAAACTAGGAATGCAAATAAGTACGACTGATCCGAATACATTGTTACTATCAAGATATTACGACGGTGACACCTGAACTGTAGACGGCAATCACAAGTACAGTCATGTTGGACTGGCAGAGTAATAGCCTTGGAGAGGACCAGCGTACACAAATTACAGCTACCAGCTGTCGGGAATTAGATACCAAAAGCGGTATTGATTAGATCCACTAAAGAAACACTGAACGATTAGCTATCATAGAACGTCCTAGTCTTCATACATAAACTCCTTGACATATGACTCTTGCAATCCCCTTTATGCTAGTGGATATATTGTCGCCAATCTTGGAATATGATCCCTACGTAAGAATCCGACTGAAGGTATCCTGCGTATGCTTCCAAACAATTTCAGGTAACCCCTTCTCTCGGAGTTGAACCATCAGAGATTGATTGGTCGCATCCTTGCCGTTGTAGTTGAGGATATAGGCACCCTGACCAGAGTTCTTGGGGGCGAAGTTAGGTGAAGTTGATAGCCATGTCTGCCACTCTCCACTCTCCTCCGCCGAAATCGAGATGGGCTTCGTCAAGAACCCCAGGATTGTACCCGCTACAGATCCCATACTCCTTTTCATGAGTGGTGTGGCCACAATACCCGGGAATACATGAAGGAAGCTGACGGAAGGGTGTTGCGATGCAAGAACCTCAAATGCTAGCGAGGTCATGGAGGCTGGGTAGCCGTTACTGGCAGAAAGGGAAAACTGCTTCCTTAGGTCCAAGTTGTCTTCCTCAATCATGACTTCTTTACCACCAGCCAGAATGCTGATCACCCGGGGGTATTTTGCGGCTTCAAGAGCAGGCAGTAGGTTCTCGATGAATCTCATGCGAGAGTAGTATCGTAGCATGTGGTTGACATCGATCCCAGCAGCTGTTTCTATATTTTAGTAGAGGTATTAGCGCATGTTCCGTAGATATGAGATCTGTCCTTGGGCCTGTGAGACCGCTTGTTCTTACCATTTTTGCTGAATGCAAGAGCTCCGGGAGAGAGAAACAAGAGGTCGAGAGCTTCAAAATGAGTTTTGAGTTCTTTGCAGGCTTCGTCCACGCTGCAAAGGTCGGAGACGTCGACAGCCTTGAATCCGTAAGAACCGTTTGGATTAGCCTTTCTCATCGCTTCGAGGACTTGAGCACCAGCGGCTTCATTGCGACCGACAATGTAAATAGTGGGTGTCTTAACCGCGCCGGCCAGTTTGATGGCAGTATGTTTTCCGATGCCACTAGTACCTCCGACGAAGAGGGCCACTGTTTCCGGCCGTGCGGACTTCAAAGCCGCATTCCACTCACGGACTTGTGTCAGAGTCTGAGCCATCTTGGCTATACCGTTGATGGTTTTCGTTCGTGGGTCAAAATGCTCGTGTGTCGCAAGAAAATTGGAAGATGTCTTAGTTATTGAGGTCAAGAGAGTGGTGGTTTTACTGCCATGCCTGTCCAGAGTGGATCTTCAGTCTTTATCCGTTCTGCGAGGAAACTGTATGGTAATCAAATATACCACTAGTAAGAGAGAGAGTACCGTAGAACATGTTTTTGACTTTCAACCAATCATATGTTCCAAGGAGTTTTGCTCTCAAGACAGGAAGAGTACTAGCTTGTACGAGAAAAACTCTAACAGTTGAAAGAATCGGGTCCTCGGAGGGAGTCAGCTTAACTCCGCCTTGCTTTCGTGGCGAGAATGGAGAGATCAGCATGATACTCCATGGATGGAAGGACTATCCTGACCTTTCGCAAATGATTATATCAATACCTATTACGCATTATCTCTTTCCCGCTGGGTTAACTCTGGTGCTCAGCCTGGCCCAATCTCTGGTGTATTAGTCCATTTAACGACGCCCAGTTTTCGCGTGACTTTGAGACTTGTGTCTATTTCATTCATTTCTGTCATATCACTCCCTTTACTGCGTATTAGTTGGGGCAGAATTACAGACATTAGTTGAAAAGCCAGGGTCCCAACCAAACCCCTCCCTGAGGCGGCGACAGCAATTTTATATGATATCTTCACTTTTTCGGACATGGGGGCGCCTTGGAAGCGCGTGAGAGTCATAGTAGACAGTAGACACTAATGCCATTTTGGGATACTTCCTAACCGAGGGTGAAGACCATGAGCACGTAGGGAAAAGAGGCTAATCATAGCGACCTTTACAAAAAAGTCACGTTTCTGGGAAATCAATGCAATACTATATGAGAAATATCACTTTGAGCTTTAGCTACCGAATAACTAACTGAGAGTTGAAAGGATCATCCTGCCCTTTCCTGCCTATGATGTCCACATCACTGACTAGATGATGAGGTGTTTGTGTAGCTGTTTGCTTCTCGGTATCGCTGGTTGATGACATTGTTAGCAGCCGAGATGAGTTTCTTCTCCAGGCTTTGTATGTGTACAGATGCTATGAAAGCATCACCCAAGTCCTCGGCATATATACTACGAAAATATAAATATTTTTCGGGTACTATTGTGATCAATCTATATACTATGACTATTCAATCTTAATTTGGCGGGTTTTGCGTTAGTGCTCGAAACCCAACCCGCGATCTGGCGTGGTCTCTCAGAGAATCCATAGGCTTAGGAAATAGATCTGCTTCTCATAACTAATCAAAACGTCGAGTGAGTAACTCCTCAATCATTAAGCTAATCTCCGACCGGTAGGTACACACCCGCGCGGATCAGTCCCTCGGCTTCTAGTGTAAATTACTAGTACCTTCTGGGCGGTATGTGTCAGCATGTAATTACCGGGTCATAGAGCAACCTCCGACCGATACACTTCAACGAAATTGTACTGAAACAGCACTGTATAGATATCTCAGTCTGGAAGGCCGATCGTTGATTACATCAGAGCAGGTCGGGAGAAGATACTCCGTAGATGCCGTTTCGCCGCTCGCTGACCAGCAAACAAGCGGCCTAAGCCATCATTGAAATGTCCTGAGGTGCAGCATAAATTGGGACCAGCCTGCACAACCTCCAACCAGCTTCTATGCCTTTCGAATACCTAGGATATAGAGCGACTCGCGATCTACATTTACTTATGCAATCTAAGCTCCTATGTTCAAACTACTCTCTGTATTCGGCCTTTACCTCATGCTGGATCTGACAGCACAGAGCAGTCGGAAGAGCCTCCACGTCGACACCCACAGTTGATGGGGTACAGCTCGCCTGGAACTTTCCAGAACTGATTATCATGCCTTCAATGGGGCCGAAAAGCGTCTTTTATAATTCAGGGAACTGTGTACGGAATTCATACAGACCCACGTAGGAATGACGCTGCTTTGGGCATTCTTCTGGCAACGAAGAGTGTCCTGAATCGAATTTCTTACGAACAAAAGTTGGCTTTCACGCTGAAACTCCACTGAGGTGTTCAATCTGTTCTATTTATGCGAAAGACCTTCTTGATCAGAAATATGTTCCTGTCCAAAGACCAATTGCTCTACTACCTCAGAGTAATTCTAGACTTTTACATAATCAGGCGAAGGCTTTGGGAAACTTTGATAGCTAGTCTAGCGTGAAGTTTTGCCTAAACCAAATACCTTATTTTCACTCATAAAAACGGTTACTAACAGGGTATAAAGTGTCTGTGCTGAAGATTCAAGCTGAGTCCGAATTTTGGGATGTAATGTAACGTGAATACAAAAGCTTATCAATCATAAACGAAAAGCTGGTTATCCACTTCAAAATACCTTCCCCACCGTAGATAATAAATGCCAATTATCCCTGGATATTTTCTCTTTCCCTTGACGCCTTTTTCAAAAAGAAAAATAAATTGAGAAACCTTACCATTAAGATATACTTGTACAGAACATCGGCAATGGCAAGTGGCGAGCATTATGAACCTTACGAGCAACTCGCCCCGGCATTATTGCGAAGCGAGCTCCGGGGCAAAGTTGCGCTTGTGACTGGTGGTGGTTACGGTATCGGCCGTAGCATCGCTCAGTCATTCGCGGAAGCGGGCGTTGCTCGGATTATCTTGATTGGACGAACTGAAACCAAACTCAAGGACACTGCCAATGATTTATCCGCATCATTTCAAGAAATCGACGTTGTCACTATGGTTGCAGACATTACTTCTAAAGAGGATGTACAGCACATTTTTGAATCTTGCACCAAATATGCCCCCGACATCTTGATAAACAATGCGGGCTATCTATCCACGCCGGCAGAGTTCCTCGATGCCGACTTCGACGATTACTGGAACTCGTTCATGGTCAATGTCTACGGGACCATGCTCTTCACGCAATCTTTCCTGCGCCATCGCAAGGCCTATGTTGAAGCGGCTGAAAACTCAGGGAATACACCCTCGCCCGCAGTTGTCGTCACTGTGAACAGTATGGGTGCCTTCCTCAGTATGCCAAAATTCTCCTCTTATTGCTCCAACAAGCTTGCTCTGGCTCGTTGGACAGAGTTGCTCTCTATCGAGATTCCTGAAGAGTTCGCCCGTTTCGTCTCCGTTCATCCAGGCGCTGTTGATTCCAGCATGGGCAACAAATCTGGTATGATTGATCAGATCAAATCTGGCGCTGCTCAGCTTAGCTTGACAAACCCAAAGTTAACCGGTGACTTTATTGTCTGGTTAACAAGTAGGGATGCAGAATTCCTGAATGGGCGTTTCGTAAGTGTCAATACCGATATCGAGCTTCTGCTCTCGAATAAAAAGGAGATTATTGAAAAGGGGATGTATTCGATACGCCTTTCACAATGAAGAGTTTCCATGCCATTCAGGAATGTATATATATATTTACCGATTATATCATTTGGCATAGTATAATGTCTTTCGAAACTCTTCTTAAGGGGATTTTTTCTGTTTCTTTTTATTATCACGCACCATTCACCCGGGGACTGTTGTTGCATTCACATTAAGGTTGACAGCACAACCGCCGCCCATTCCCAGAAACCTGTTAATCTAGCCCTGGCTTCATCTACGAAAGATGCCATATAAATAGCAAGCCAAACATTCGATGGTCATCTTGGGGGCATTAACAGGCTGGGAATATTTGAAGCATGAACTGCAGTTGCTATTCAAGCGTATCTTTTCGAAGAGATAGCAAAGCAGTCTTCTGGATGACCTAGCTGAGAGCAGTAGCAGGATCAGCAACTCTGTACAACAACACGCCACCGATTGACAGCTGCCAGAGAGTTGTGAAGTTTCAGTTGCTCATGATTCTTTAAAGGCCATAAATAAATAAGATTATATCAATTCTATATATTCAAGTGTCATACTATTTTACTATATTATAAGCTGTTCCATTTATGTAGTGTTTTAAGATGAGGTTATAAACACTGTCTACTACAATGAGAACTTCTATTCATACTCAATATACTAATAAGTCAGCTTAAGGGAAGAACTTTTGGATCTGCCGCCTACAGACTTTTAGAGACTCTACAAGACTGACGACCACCTGGTCAGCAACAACCTTGCTAACGCAAGGCAACAGGCGAAATCTCTTGACCTGACCTGACCATACGGAAAGCTGAAAACTAAGGATTCAAGTATGATACGTGATCCAGGATTAACTTCAAGCTGGAATACCACGCAGGCCTACATACCAAAGGCAGTGACCCACAGTAAGAATCAAAGTCTCCCTGGGTTAATTCATAGTTTGCAAGTACCGTGAGTCAATGGTGTGTCGTTGGGTCTATCTTATGAGTTCAAACTTGAAAAATACAACCCGGGGATCTATAAGTAAAACCAAGCTTAGCACTTAGCTTTGCCTTACAGTATCGGGTATATAATACGTCCTCCTGAATATAGACGTAGGATATTATTTACTTTTATATAAAATCCTGCTATGTTGGAAATAGTTAAAAATTTCATTAGAGTTATATCAACTAATCTAAATCAATATCTTTCTATATGCTTATACCTGTACTAGCATTATTTACTTAGTGTCTGTATAGTAGAATCAGGCAAGTCATGATATATATGCAGCTTTACATAGATAGATATCTTGGATAGGATATATAATTTAACCAAATTTTATACTTTTCTCTGCCAGCAGTGGATGATAAGAAATCATTATTGCTTGGTGGCCGCTATTGCCCGCCATACACGGACCCACCCAGGGTCTGCCAACAGCAACTCATACTCATGGGATTCCCCGAAGGTACTGAGAATACAGAGCGGGATGTCATTCATGGCAGATGCTGATTTTATGATGATACTTCTCATTGAGACTGTTAACTCGCTGGCTTCCCAGCTTTGCATCTGATGTCGCTGCTGCTTCAATAGGTTCAATACTAGCATTGTACCATTGTCACGCTACGTTCGCAATGTCTGTCGAATGGCCTATGGAGCCTGAAAATAATGCCTACATCAATGTCTGGACTATGAATCGAGACTAGATAATGGCAGCGGGGCTTAAAATATGGCAGCTTGTATAATAACCCTTCCATCTATGAACAAATATACTATCTCCATACAGCTGTCAATCACTCACTTAGCACTCGTCCTTATCAGATCTCCAAAATGGGAGCCCGGCTGCGCAGCCAGTTCCACGGGATTTATAATCTCCAAAATTTCACTGGTGTTCATAATAACCACCCGGTTAAAACTTATAATTATATCCAGTCTAATGGCTTACTATAGTAACAGTATAATACCTAAATTCTATTTGAATAATATCTTACATCCACTTACTCTATCTTATAATTTATACTAGAATTATTTATTTGTTAGATAAGGTCTTACTCTGTAAATTTATTAAAAGATTTATAAAGAAAATTATATATTATATATATATCTTTTATCTTATATAATATATAGAATCTCTATGTCACGGAGCGGAACCTGGGTGCGCATTCCAAGCAGCTAACCGTTGCACTATTGGCAAAAGGACTAGAATGTAAAGCCAATGGCTTTACACTGCACACACTATATAAGTCTTTATCGATGAACATCGCGGGTTCAGGCAGGTTCAGGCAGGCAGGTTCTGTAATAGACTGGTGGTAGCGACCACCTACTCCCGTGTATACATGTCTATATAAGCAGGATTCTAGGGGTCCGCAGGTAGCTGCGGGTAATGATGGTCTATTTGGCCTTGTGTGTACAACTCCCCTAGGTTGTTCTATGACAGGTTCAGGTTCTTCCACGGCAGACAGCTCTCTTAGCTCGCACCGAGACAATCTATATTAAAGAGATATTTTTAAAGAATAACCTTTTAATATGGCTGTGTAAAGAATTAGTTTTGATATATAATTATCTTTATTAATATTCTATTCATTTAACCTGGTCTTGATTGTACGCTCGTGGATATATAATATTATATCTCAATAATAAGTATTATCTAATGGTAAGGCCAGCGGTGAGTGTACTTTAATATAAAAAATTATTTTTGCCTGATGGCTGCTATTAACTGCCGTAGTCAGCCTCACTAGCCAGTAGCCACAGGAATCTCACCTCGCATCGAACTGTCAGGTATCTGACTTTCCCGATCAGGAAATTACCACTATCCGTGCTTGGGGCCTTCCATGGCAGTCATTCACTCCGCTCAGCCACTTCCCCCCACTTGAACCGTTCCTTCGTGAACTCTGCTCCTCGGGTCAGCCCAATCAAACCATTCACTTGGTCCCTTAGTGGCTGTGCCGTCGCTCTTCATTTCCGTCCCTGTGGCTGCGCCCGTCTGTAAGCTTCAGCAGTCAGATACTTAACGTCGCACACCCCCCACTTCCTCAATCTCACTTCATCGTCATCATTAACCACTGTTTTCATCCTCAATCTACATTAAGTTGAACGAGAGAGGAACCATGTCGTATCAGCAACCTTACGGACAGGGTCCGCCTCAGGGCTATAATCAATATCCCCCTGCAGGACAGTATGGCCAGCACCAACAATATCCACAGTATCCCCCGCAGGGTCCAGGCCCCTACCAGCAAGGTCCAAGCGCTCATCAGCCGCCTCAACAGCACGGTTCATACCCACCTCCATTGGCCGGCCATCATCCACAGCAAACACAATCACCATATCCTCCTCAGCAGCAACACCCACCACAGGGTGCCTCTCCATACCCACCTCCCATGAGCGGCCAGCATCCCCAGCAGCCTGGTCCGTATTCTTCATACCCACCACCACAGCAGGGCATGGGATATCCGCATCAAGGCCCTCCATCCCAGCAGAGCTATCCACAAGGGCATCCATCTCAGCCAGGCTACCCGAATGCGCCGCAACAGCAATACCAATCCTTCCCTCCGGGCCCTCCAGGCCAACAGCCACCACCGATGATGGGACCTGCAGGAGCAGGCGGACCCTACCCCAACTATCCCCCACAACAAGGCCCCATACCCTCCCGTCCCTCCCCCGGCTATGACTCTACCTTCCTTGCCCCAGGGACAGCATCCAACGAAGCCGAAGCTCTCCGCAAAGCTATGAAGGGTTTCGGAACGGACGAGAAAGCGCTCATTCGTGTCCTGACTAGCACCACCGATCCCAACCGAATGGCACTTATCCGCCACACCTACGAAAAGATGCACAACCGATCCCTAACCAAGGACCTGAAATCCGAGACCTCGGGTTCGTTCGAGACCATCCTCGTTTCGCTCGCCACAGGTCCATTGGAATCAGATATCACGTACCTCCATGATGCGATGAGCGGGTTGGGCACGAATGAAAGGGGACTGAACGATGTTCTTCTGGGACGGAGCAATGCCGATCTGCATGCCATTCAGCGCGCCTACCGGGACAAATACCACAAGTCGCTTCTCGATGACATCAAGGGAGAACTGAGCGGGAAGACAGAGCGGTTCTTCGAGATGCTGCTCAACGCGAGACGCCCCGAACCGGGAACTCCCTTTGATCCGCGCGGCGTGGACACCGACGTGAGAGAACTTCATCGTGTGACCGCTGGAAAGGTGGGAACAGACGAGGTTGCTCTTTTCGGTATCTTCATGAACTCGTCCGATGAGAGGCTGAATGCGTTGGCTGGGGAGTTCGAGAGAATGTATCATGTCCCTCTTGAGATGGTCATTCGAAGTGAGTTTTCGGGGCATCTGGAGGATGCGCTGGTTACGATGTTGCGGGTAGCGAGGGATCCAGTCTCATTCCATGGTGCAACTTTGAAGGAGTGTTTCTTTGGTTCCAATGGATCTAATGAGAAGAGGCTGGTGTATTGGACTGTTAGGTTGCATTGGAATCCGGACTACTTCGCGAGGGTGAAGGGAACGATTGGAGGGAATATGCGCTCGGTGGTGAAGAGTTATGTTTCGGGTGGGGATTTTGAGGATGCGATGATGGCGGTTTGCTCTCATTGATGATAATTTCTAGCTTTAATGGTGTATGTTTAGTAGCGGCTTTCTTATTACTAATGAGATGATCATGAAATCTTCAATTACGTCGATGTGGTGGAGTCTTTCAGTATGATGCTTGGTTGAAGCCGCAGTAACGAGCAATATATATCCTGAATGACCTGCAAGGTTAGTATTAATGTCATGACCAGGAAAGGGAAATTCGGATACAATACAACCTGACATTGTCAAGCAGTCCATAATGCTGAATGGTCCGATTAGATGCAAGCCTTTTTCTCTCAATAAGAATAGAACAAATATCCAGATATCTAAACAATGCTTAACACAATGGACTCAGCGCAGCTATTCCTGAGGCTGAGCGTGTTACGGTGATAGTATGCGTTGCAGCCCTTATGTATTATAATCAAAAGCCACTACTATAACAACGGCAAGGTGGCCGAGCGGTCCAAGGCGCCAGGTTAAGGTTCACCTTAACAGTCAGCTTCCGAGCTTCCTGGTCATCGTAAGATGGCGTGGGTTCGAATCCCACCCTTGTCACATCTTTTTGTTATATTGCTATATAACGCCTCCTTGCTGCGTTTACCTCTTTTATCTCTTCTAATTTTCGCTTTTGCCCCCTTCCAAACGACCGTGGATTCCGTTCTTTCGCATCTGATTAGCACACTGACTAGGCTATCTCCCACATCCCTATCAATGGTCATCACTTCCGCACGTCTAGTAGCTTTTCTGTCACGCATCATTCCGTCTCAACTGTGGAACTTGCCGATTCGTTCTTGCCTCTCGTCTGTAGACACAACATCAAGTGCCGCAAAAATACGCGCCTACGTCTGTAAAAGAGTCTCATTCTCCTGTATATATAGTTAGCCAAGTCTCTGTCATTTTAGTCTTCATACTCTATCCTATCTCAGCTTCCATCCTCATGCATACACCTCAAACATCAAAATATCCTTGAATGTGCCCAAGTCGATGAAGTAGCCCGGTTAGCTCCATCCCTGCATCCTATCAGACCCATCACCACTCTGCTGATCTATCCAGATCTATCTATAGCCCTGTACTTCTACAAACTAATGAATTAAAGTAGTCAACATGACCTAATTTTTTCCCTACACAATGTAGCTGGAATAATGACGCAGGCTCCGGAATTGACCCCCTGAACCTGACATCCACGTGGCGCATGGCTACTATTTCCATTTCTGAGGCGGGGTAATACTGTCCCTGGTTGAGTAGAAGACGCTCCAATCAACGTTCATCTCTATACTTCAGCCCTAAACCTTTACAGGCGATAAAATCTCATCTCATCGTACCATGTTATATTACGCTTCATGGACAATACCATTGTCGATCCAAATAAAGAGTCTTTCTCTACATTCCAATATACTAGTCCCTTTGTTCGATAAATCCCCTACGGTCTGTCAAATTTACTATCATTCATCTAATCCGGGATTTTCCTCCAGTTAAATTTTCAAAATGCGAGAACTGAAGACGATACATTTGGAGGGATAAAGAGCTATAAAACCCTGCTGCAAGCGTAATATGTCACTCGAAACTCGAGACGCACACATACGGACCGCCGCGCCCCTCTGGGCGCTATCCATGGTCCAGGGCTCCGACGTGTTGTATACCGTGAATCATTCCTCAAAGCATGTTCTCAAGTGTATGGCGGTATTCTGGCATCGTCGACACAGCCGGAGAGTTTTCAGCCAGCGGGAACATAAGTCGCAGGAATCCCACAGCCGTAAGCCCCTGCTGTCTTCCTCTGCAAGTGTCTGCTAAGAATCCCAGCTCCACCATACACGCTCAGCACAAGCAACTTCTTTCAACTCTGCTATGTTCGACAAACTCCTATCACTATATTCTACCCTCACGTTATATTTTCCGGTTTAGGAACAAATCCACAACCAAAATCACACTATGCAGTACCCCAGCATGCAAGTTGCCACTGCGCAGTCATCTGTTGCTCATCTCCCAGCCACTCCTGCACCCGCAATGAAGACTACCATTCAACCCACGAACAGAATATATCCACGAAGCTTCGTCTACCAAAGAGGCAAATACTGGACGAATGAGCAAGTGCACGCTCTCAACTGTGTCTCCGAAAAGGATGTCACTCCCATCGACTTACTTGGGAATTCTTTTCCCACCGACGAAAAGATTCTTAAATGTATGCCACCCTCCCTATAACAAAGACAACCGACTAGATGATAGCTAACATATCTGACCGCACAGCTTTCGCAAAGCTGAACGAAGATTTCATCACCCCCAGCAAGCAAGAAATCTTGGACTACCACTATAAACCACACGAGTCCCCAATAAGGAAGAATGATATCCTAACCATCTTTCTCACCCTATCCTGGATCCACAGTTTGGACAAGTACCGTGACGATGTCCCACCCACCATCGACTCCACCTTGAGCATCCTCGGTCTCCGTATGAACATCTTCAGGGCAAACTTGTAAGCATCATTACCATACACAACAAATGAAGAGCAGTAACTAATGTTCAAACCATAACAGCATCATCGACAAATATTCTATCCGATACAACCTCGCCAAGTTAAACATGAAGGGTGTTCTCCCCTGCGATGGCGGAATATTCGGCCCTGACGACAAATGGAGACGATGTCCCTTAGTCGTGCTTCTGGTATGTCCTTCCTCCTACTCATAACACACATACCCACTTAGCATACAAAACTAACATGGAACATCGTATAGGACACATACGATCTATCGAAGAGACAAGCCCGTAACAACTTATTTTCATGCCTTCTCCTTCCCATGGCGGTGAAATATGAACAGGGCCAGAAGCGCGATCCATACGTGTCTTTCTGCATTACGGCTAATCTCTCCAAGTACCGGGTTACTCGGGCCGAGGCGCCACATACCTACTTTGAAGATCTGCGTCAAGGCAGACGCCTGAAGGACAAGCTGGTCATGAAGGGAACGAGAGAGTATGATCTTTTGAAGAAGGAGGATCGGGATGAGTTCTTGAAGGTTTATTGGGGTGTTTGCTCGTTTTTGGTGAAGAGCCGTGAGGAGGGTATGTGATGGTGTTGCTTTTATCCTTGATCTTGGAATCTTTCTATGTTCTCTATTTATGTTTGATGCGTTGCTGTGTCTGTGTCTGTTTGGTCTTTGATTTACTACGTTCTGAGCGATAGCGATCTGTTCTGTCTCGAGTCATTATGTCTGCTAAATCGATTGGTAAATGATCGGAGTGAGAAGTCAAAACCACTCCTGGTCGAAGTGAGTCGTCAATATCACTTCCTACTACAACCAATATGAGCTACTGTCTTGCTTTGATTATAATGTTTCTATTGTTCAACTAAGACCTAATTGCTGGTTACATCCACATCCACCCAACAACTAAATCTCTTCTCTCCCCATATCAAGCTTGACTTGACTTAGATCCAACCAAGCTTTGAATCACAGCAAATCAATGTTTGATTTACTGGGATGCAACGCACTGGTAGTAGTAAGGGTTCCACTTCTTGCAGACAGAGCCGCTCTCGCAAGTAGTAGGGCCAGTGTGGTTGATACCACCGCAGCGCTCGTACTGCTTAGCAACACCGCCGGCGGAAGCGCTAGCGCTGGCACTGACAACAGGGACGATGCTAGAAGTAGCAGCGGGGGCAACGACACTGGAGGTAGCAGCAGCAACCTTGGAGTTGGACTTGGTCTTGTTCTTGCAGGCAGTCTTGGAGGACTTCTTGGAAGAGGTGGCGAAGGTGTTGGGGGCGGCCTGGGCCTGGCTGGTCACAGCGGAGGTGGCCTGCTGGACGGGGGCAGCAGAGCTGACGACGGGAGCGGCAGCTTCGGTGGTAGCAGCAGCAGCAGCAGCAGCAGAGGAAGAGACCTCAACGGCAGCCTGGGTGGCGGGGGTGGTAGCAGCAGCAGCAGAGGAGACAGCAGCGGAAGAGGATCCGGAGCTGGAGGAGCCAGAGCTGGAGCCATCCCAGACATCCGGGCCGGGGATGGGGTAGCTGTCGAAGGAGTTGTAGATGTCGAAAAGGATACCGGGGTCAGTGGCGGTGTAGACACCGGGGATGGAGACACCGGAGGGAAGCTCGTTGGAGCCGTCGGAGGTGACCTTGAACTGGACACACTCCATGTAGAACTGGGCACCACCCTCGCGGTTACCCTCGTGGAGGGCAATGATCTCAGGGCGGAAGAGGTAGTTACCGGCGGGAACGTCGGGAACGGTGATGTTGTGCTTGCCCTTGTTGGCGATCAGGATGTCGGTGGCCCACTCATCGGAGCTCTTGTGGTATCCGTCCTCAGCGATCTTGACCCAGTTGTTGCCGTTGGAGCCCTTGGCCGTCGGGGCCATGTAGACTTGGACGGGACCCTTGTGGGAGGAGGCGATGATGTCGTCGGAGTCGGAGCGGTCGCTGTGGTGCCACTCGAAGGTGACAACGTCACCGGCCTTGACGGAGAGGGTCTTGGAGGCAGCCTGGTCACCGTTGACGTTGCAGGTCATGTCGGTGGAGGTGACGTCGGTGACGGGACTGTTGCTGGGGGGAGAGCGGATGTAGCCATCGTCGGTGTTACCGAGACCCTGGTCCTCGCCGTTGATCCAGACGGCCTGGACGGTGGTGTGGGCGGAGGCCAGCTTGGAAGCCGCTGCCAGAGCGAGCAAACTGTAGGTGGTAGTCTTCATGGTGGTAGGTGAAATAAAGGTGATTTGAAGTTAGGGTTAAAGAATGAATGTGTAGTAGAAAGGAAGGGAACGTAGTTAGCAGATGAGAAAGTAAGAAAAAAGAATGTACAGCTATCCTGGCTGATGAAAAGAATGCTTGGGGAGAAAATTGAACAGCAGGTTCGTAGAGAGTGTTTTATATCAGGGCCCTGGCAGGGCAATGATGATGGGATACCGGTTGAGCGGCGGAGGAGATGCGGGCCCTGCCAAGCCAGACGTTTCATCTTAATGCGATCCGGCCGCGATCCACGCTCCACAGAACGGGGTCAACTGGACCCTGGCGGAGTGTATTGCCAGGCCATCCGCCGGTTGCCAAGGACCACTGCTACAGCGGCGCCTTGGCTTCATTTTGCAGGCGCGTAGAGGGAGAGACACGGGTCATGACCCTCTTCTTGGCCTGGCTAGTCTTACTCTCAGACACCCCCTCATAGTGTGATAGTCAGACCAGTAGCTGGCTCAACGGCCAATCCGGGAGAATCCCCGGCGTTTATCCTTAAGCATGTCGGACCTTAATCTTGTTGCGGCCTTGGCTTCTTGCTGCAAAAGCTTTCTGTCAGCTTCCGGGGTGGGGACTTTGGCCTAAACGGTGTCGCTGGTTCCAAGAACTTGCCCTGTATTCTAAGGATTGATGTATACTAGCCCCTGGTCAATTAGAAATCCAGTCAAGGGGATTGTTCAATCTCCATGTGTGCTCAGAGGGTGTTCACAAGGACCCTGTTTATGAAACGGCACTGTTGGTGAACGACTTGCCGATGATGGATCTCAGGTCTCGGCTGATAGCCTGTTGCAGAACAAATGCCAGCCAATCCGGGTAAATTGGTAATAATCCTTCATCCGCATATGGGGCAGATAGCACAGCCTCAGCATTGTGTACATAATTCTCACTAAAGCAAATCGTTCCCATTATGGGCGATTCTTAATAAAAGTTAATCTACAATCATGTACAGTAAGGAACGGCTGGAACAAAGTACCTGTAGACGGCCCGTGGTTGGATAAGAGCGGGCTATCATCCGTAGTGGTCTTTTTCTTGTAGGAGATGGACCCTTTTGATGATCCAGCGATTATTTTCCCACCCCAAAGTGCGGAGGTGGTGTCCAAATGAGATTTTTGCAGGACAAAGGTCCGGTACTATGTGCCTAGGGATACATTATATAGTGAGCTGCTTTGAGCAACGAACACGAGACGTAGATGTTGTGATACGCCCAATATCGCGCCTAATGATATTATTTTGGATCCATGTCATTGATAATGAAGATATATGATAGCTTTTATTCGTGAAACTGCAACATAGCCAGATGGGCAAGAATAACCAAATTGTAGGATATAAAACAAATCTACAACTCAGACTTCAACCAATCAGCTCCTATGGCTCAGTTGGTAGAGCGCATGACTAGTAATCATGAGGTCCGCGGTTCGAATCCGCGTGGGAGCATTTCTTTTTCTTTTTCTTTTTCGTCTTTTGCATTCCTTCGGCATTAGTCAATTGAATTAAATAGTTCACTTAACGATGCACTGTGAGTACGCACGCTGTAGGTGTAATACCATTCGTGTTGTGAGCAGGTCTGCCACGGTGCCCCTGCTGTCCACCGCAGTCATGAAACAGGGATGTTAAGTAGGCGAAGTAGGCAAATCTGATGATAATCCTGCACTTGATGCCTCGCATAATCTGCTTTTTCCTACTTTATACTAATGATGTATAATTACTGATTGTGTCGATCCTGTGTGGTACTGACAATTCATGGATCCACTTTCCCTCCCAAACGAAGACAATTTTTTGCTAATTCTAAATGGTCATTGAAAGAGAGATGCCCATATTGAGCAGTACCAGCAAGAGGTTTATTCACAAGATACTAGCAACAACCAACACATCAACTTCTACCCTAGCCTACAGCGTTGGCCGATACAAAGGCTTCTGACCCACAACCCTCATCAACTTCAGGGGCGGGGAATTTCCCTCTGCGCACTGACGCCGATGCTCTTCAACAAGATTCTCTGCCTCTTGCGATGCGACCTCTGCGGTATCGACCTGCTTAGATCTCAGTAAAAGGAAAGCATAAAGTGTTCTGATTATCGCAGCAAGTCTCTCCTCGACATCATGGTGCAGATCAGGAATCTTGTGCGAATCATAACATAGTCGCTCTACACCCACGAATCCAGCTGCCCGAGTCTCTTCATATACCTTAGCTGAAGCCTGAAAGCATTTGCCCTCGGCTGTAAGACCATATTCAAAACAGCGATAAAGCTCACTGAGCACCGGGTAGCCTTTTGTGAGGTAGGTTACAGCGTCGATTTCTTCCCATTGGAGGTAGCCTCCGGGCTCTGCACTCATATTAGTGTCAAGTCTAGGAGGTGATTGCAATGTGCCTAAGAAGGGTCCTCCATACTCAGTATTCTCGATATATTGGCGATCGCAGCTTTGTAGTCTGATTCCTCAAGAGCAGCGACTAGAAGACGAACATGTACCAAGTCATATCGTCCCCAATGTTCTTGAGGGAATGGGACATTCAGATCGTGAACACTATACTGGATCGCTCCTGGGTTCTTAGGAAATTGCTCGGATGAAATATCGAATCCATGGTAGTAGCGATCGACTTGAGGTGTATCCAGCGATTTCTTCAGATCTCGCAGCCAAATGCTGCGCGATTCACCCATTAGTTTCAAAGACTGGGCCCTACGCGGAGATGAGAGACTCACCCAGTCCCAGTAGCTATATCTGCAACAGAACGGATGTTCTCGACTGGAATTGAAGGATGAATGAGGGTATCCCCGCTGGTTCGGACGAGCACGCGGTGCTGTGCATCCAACCTAGAGTGAAATTAGAGAATTGCATGACGATCCATGAACATTGCTATATGTAGGACCATACCTCTCCGATTCTTTCTTATCTCTCTCGAAGCAATATTTGTCCTGAGCAGCCATTGTTGCATTACGTTGGTGTTGAAGGGACAGCGGCCTTCTACCCACCTTTTATACTACAGAACCCCTGTACATGACCTCATTCAGGATCTCGATCTCTCGATCATGCCCCAGCTTTAATTCCCTCACTGATTACCATTATCGCTTGAAATAAACCCGTAGGTGGTTATAGGTTCTTGTTTGCCGCTAAGGACTCTTCAGCTCCACCAAACCAGTGGAGTAGCTGCAGGAGCTGAAGAATTGTGACAACCTGCACCCCTCTCAGCCAGCCACACTGACAAGTCTTCATTATAATGTGATTGGTGCGGCATTGATGACCTGAATAACTTGGTCAGAGTGTACACGTTCCGACAGCGGAGCGTCTCCAATGATCATCTCGGCTATATTTCCCTGCCCTGGCAGACCGTCACAACCATGCCGATCTGTGCTCGTGCCCCATCAATAGCCACGTATCACGGAGATGTCCGGCTTATCACGCGTCTGGCTAAACTTCATGAAGTGTCTGCCTGCATGATGTGTAGCGTGCTTGAGGAAATCCTCAGAATCTGTGACAGCATGGTCCAAAAATACTGGTAGTATACTGGTACTGTTTCTGCTCCGTCAACACCTGGTGGCGCCTGCTCGGGCCCGTATTCGAGTTTGACTGAGAAGGCTTATCACAAAAAGGAGCATACTGCAAGCCTGAGATTATAATTATACTTTCACATTGATGCGCATGACTTGGATCACACCCCGCATCCGATCCAGCTCGATTATTCGCCGCTCTCGGGTATCGAATTTACCCCGCTTTCCAATGGAATTGTCGGTAGTTGCGCTGGAAGAGGGCCCAATGTTGGCATCCTAGGGACTATACCTTCGAATCCCACTAGGAGTATCCGATTTCCCTGGAGCCATCCAACGACGTAAGTCTAGCGGACCTTGGATTTTTTATACCCAATATTGAATATGTCCAGTATATCGGAGGAAGGGGAATCCGGTCTCTATATGAATTTTCAAGTATATCCTACAGGGGCAGTCTGATCCAGAGTTAGTATCTTTGAGATCAACCCTCATATAAAGACTTATGTAAATGTAACTATGCGGTAGTAGGGCAACAATCAGGACTTTGGATCCCGGAGACTTCCAGCCTATGGTAGCTAAAAAGAAGCAGTCACATCAGACTGCAAAATCTTCCCGTGTAGGAGACTTCTGATTCTGGCCAGTCCTTGAAACTGCCGTATGGAGCTGGGAAATCTTGGTGACAGACAGGGTGTACTATCTCGATAGCTGGTCCAAATTTTCCAGCGGTCATATCAACTAAGATAGTTCGACTATAAATACTACTACTTCCCGTGGGATTCGGCTGTCGCTACAACACACCTTTAACATGCCTGAGAGGACCTTGGTAGAACGAGCGATGAAGCCTGCTATAAGGTGAGATCATGAATGTAGAGAAGTCTGGCCTAAATTCACTCGAGAACGCAAGTATGCTCCGGAAAAGCGGAGAAGAAATTTCTTGAAGCCACCTCACTCTCGTGCAGCATTTCGACGTAGCCAACTCGAGAGTATGTGCCTCGCTCAGTCTCAATTAACGCCAGACCAAATAGTTCCCAAAAATTCCTGAACATATGACGAGCTTCGATTGGCAGGCAGTAGATCTCGGTACGCATCTCGCTCTTGACATCAAATATCACCTCGCACCGAGCTCGCGGATACTTAACTATAGGCTTTTGACCTTCCATTCCAGGGGCTTCAAGGCTCAGTACAGACATGGCAGTCTCCTTTGAAAGAGTCATGACGCTTGGGATGAGCGTTGCAGACGCGAGGGGTCCTTTCAAAGTGACACTACCACTGGCCACTTGACCTGTTTCATCTTCTCCGCAAGGAATACATTCAGCGCCGATGACAAGCGCAAAAGACTGGGCAGTTTTCTTCTGCACAGAATGTGTGCCTGGATAGCACAACTGAACAGCACCATCCACAGAAGCCCACGACCAGGAAGGCGCGCGATACGAAGGAGGTCTGCGACCGGGTTCCAAGACCTTCCAAGTCAAACACCCGGGTAGATTCTGACGCCAAAGCCCAGCAAGGTAAACGTCTTCATCATAACCTAGATCTTTGAGGCGTCTCTGGACATCCTTTGCCAAGCCAGAAATAGCTACAAGCTTGTCTGAGGGAACTGTAAGCTGGCAAGCCGTGAAAACCATTGCGATTGCGCACCAATCTACGTAAATCTGGTCTCTAGGATCACCAATGTACCTTAGCTTTGGAGCATCAAGAAGCTGTTTCCAAAGGTGGTTGTGTTCAATGACCGGCGCTGATAACAATGATGTGTTCGGAGACTCCCCGTTATTATCGTTCTTGTCATTGTGATAACCATCGTACTCGTAAACATTGCTCGGCTGTATTTCGCAGCAGGTACATTCCCTGCACTCCCAGAAAACCTGTTTCCGACCTAAGTGCAAAACACGCGGGCATAAAAGGCGTTCCTGCAAGGTCCAGCCTCGCTGTGGCAAAGGTTCTCGCTCAAATGTTACATTCCAAGCCCAGCCCTTTTCTGAGCGAAATCTGAATGGTTTGGGATCACTCGAATCATCGACACGTATGTTGACGACGCTAGGGACAACTTGTGCAGAGTCTCGGGAGAAAAAGCAGCCATCAGCATCGTTACTCGATCCCAATGCAGAAATTCCCAGAAATGCATTTTTGTAAATTTGCCCCATAGCTGCGGCTTCGCTTTGCCAGTCTTCAGGAGAATCCTGGAGTATACAGAGACGGTCAATCCATATGTACCGGATTCTCAACCGTTCAATGATGGTGAAAGCGTCCCTGAATGTTTTGGGAAGGACAGACAGTGGCTGGTACTCTCTGAGTTTGCGGAATGTGTTCTTTAACAATATCAAGTTGGGATTAGATGGAGTTGAGCCCCAGCAGTGGCTTAGAGTTATGTAGCGCTCTCCGGGCTGGACCTGTTGCCCTTCAACAAGACGGAACATTTGGTCAAACCTGTCTGTTTGAAGTTCTAAAAGCCGGCTTGGGATAAAGTTCGCTTCATATTGATCACCACAATTTGGATGTCCTTCAAGACATCGATTAAGCCACCGCTCAATTAACACCCATGTCGTCTGGTCGTCAGTGGATGCCCCTATTTCAAAGCTCAAGTTCTCATCGAAACCTTCAGATTATGTACCAAGGCAATTGTCAGAGGTCAGCGTGATCGGGTACTATGTTTCATGGAGCAAAGAAGCCTCCATGTCTGGCACATACCTTCATGCGGAATCATATCACAGGTGCCGGAGATATTACCATAGTACACCGTCATCTCCACACAACGAGGCTTCAGCAATACCTTGAATACGGAAAAATATTCAACACCCTCCAGTTGTGTGTTAAGGGTTTCCCGGTCCAGGTTCTCCATATCTTGCAATGGCACGAATTTGCAGCACACGACACAGCCTTGCTCGATAGATGCCACAAAGGATTCCCTGGTGAGGTGATGCCCAAACACCCATAATTCCGGCTCCCACTGGATACCTCGGCCTTGCGTAGGGTCAGTATCAGAAGGAACGGACGGCCGACAGATACGTTGCAGGGCATACCATCGCCATATTCTTCGTCGCTGTCGTCTATCTTCAGCCGTCTTGTTCTTTCAGGGTCCCATATACCTTCTAAACCTTCTTTGCAGATCTTGCACAGCATGACTTAAGAGCTTCAACAGACAGCGCTATGTCGATGAAAGTACTTACTCTCACGGTGGTCGGTCGCGGCTTCCCCTCATCGGGCATCCGTGCGGGCTTACCGAATCGGGAAAAGTTGTATGCAGCATAACCGTAGTGAAACCTGATCAGTAACAATTGTGTGGTAAGTTAACACTTCCTACGCCCACTTAGACGGAGTACTAGTTATCTAGTTAGAGGGAGCTCGAGGCAAGACTGTATAGGAATCCTTCCTTGATAATTTCGGACATAGACATTGGAGGTTTCAGTGGAATCGGCCAAAATGATGTCTTCTGTTTGCTATTCCATGTGAGAAAGACATTCGTAGTAGGAGTTATTCGAATATGAAAAGATATACTGCAGGTACAGAGATGAATCTAGTTCCTAATCTGTTAGGCAGATCGCCCCTATGCTCGGGTATAAGAAAAGTTTTAACTCCGTCCCTCGGTTCCTCCCGGCCGCAGTAAGTCTCGCTTACGATTTCGTTCGACAAATCAGGTTTGATCTGCTTGTTTGGTTGAGATGATTGTCAACTATGTCCACAATGGATATATTGATGTTGTTTCAGTTTGTACTCGATGCACAGGTCTGAGCACCTTCGTGGTGCATGGACGTGTGGGTCGGTGTCATCCGGTTACATGAAGCCCGGACGTAAGCAAATTAGCCTTCCTTACCTCCGTTTAGATATACCCTGGATGACATGACATCAATTAGTACCTTGGCGGAGTAGCCGAGAGCAGTGAGTATATAACCATCCCATGTGTATATCTTTTGAGACTGTTGTAAGATTCTCCCAATCCAAGTGAATCCCTACCATCACATCAGTCGCCTTGCATTTATACAATCTGTCAACATGGCCTCGCTCGAGCAAGCAGCACAAACCTCCCCCCTCTTCCGCCACCGCCAACTCGCACCAGCAGCAGCAGTCCGCGTATCCCCATTATGCCTTGGAGCCATGACATTCGGCAACCGCCAAGAGTCCCGCTACGGAGAATGTACTCGTGAAGACGCCTTCGCCATCCTTGACCACTTCTACAGCCAAGGAGGCAACTTCATCGACACCGCCAGCGGCTACCAAGAAGGCCAATCAGAGGTCCTAGTCGGCGAATGGATGGCAGAGCGCAAGAACCGCGACGAGATTGTGCTGGCAACCAAGTACACAACCGCCTATATGACACACCACAAAGACGCCATCCAATCCAACTACGGCGGTAACAACGCCAAGTCCATGAAAGTCAGCGTAGAGCAATCTCTACGCAAACTCCAGACTTCTTACATTGACTTACTCTACGTCCACTGGTGGGACTTCACCACCTCTATCCCGGAGCTCATGCACGCGCTAAACGATCTCGTCGTGGCGGGGAAAGTCATTTACCTCGGTATCTCGGATACCCCCGCCTGGGTGGTGACCAAAGCGAATCAGTATGCCCGGGATCACGGACTACGTCCGTTTGCTGTTTACCAGGGGATGTGGAGCGCAGCAATGCGCGACTTTGAAAGAGATATTATTCCCATGGCGAGGGAAGAGGGGATGGCGTTGTGCCCCTATGGTGTGTTGAACCAGGGTCGGTTCCAGACTAGAGAGGGCTTCGAGGAGCGGGAGAAGCATAACCCCGGTCGCAAGTTCATTCCCACCTCCGAGCATGATAAGAAGGTTTCTGCTGCTCTTGAGGACATTAGCATTGCTAAGGGCGTGAAGCTGCTCGATGTGGCTTTGGCCTATGTGATGCAGAAGTCTGTCTATGTGTTCCCGATTGTGGGTTGCAGGAAGATCGATCATATCAAGGGTAGCATTGCGAGCTTGAGCGTGACTCTTACAGATGAGGAGATGGCGAAGGTTGACAGCGCTTACCCCTTTGACTTTGGGTTTCCTCACACTTTCCTGAGTGGCTCGATGTTCGATCATTCTACTCCGAGAATGGCTGAGAAGCCCGGTGATGTCTGGCTGACCAAGGTGATGGGCAAGTTCGACTGGGTCGAGCAAACCAAGCCGATCAGACCAGCTCCTTGAGTATGCTAATCCAGCTAGAGCATGATGTTACTATATTTATGACAGATATACGCATATAATGAAATCCCATATCCATCGTCTTGTCACAGTGCTACTTAATTAGAATTTCAATACATATGCTCCTTATATTGTCAAGCGAACTTTAAATTCATCCCTCTATATAGAAAGGAAGTAGAAAAAGTGCTGATTGAAAGGACGAAGAGAAGTCTAAGTAAAATAATTTAACAGCAAATCAAGAATTTCATGCTAGGCCAACAGCACCAGTCACCTCTATTGTGAATGGTACTGACAGTAAGGGTGGTTGGCCGGAATTTGGCTCATCTGGTACATGTGGTGACGATGGTCATTTTCATAGTTTGGTGCGGAGGGTGGGAGCGAATGGTAGACTGGTGTCGTACCCATTGCAGGATAAGTCTGGATTCGAGGCCCCCGTCTTGCTTGAGAACAGCAGCAAGTGGTAATGGTCCAGGATACCATAGAACACAAAGACAAAGCCACACTGAACCATATAACGGTAAATGCACGACTGCCCCACGTGCCAGATAGGTTGTGTGATTTCAGCTCAGTGGCAAGTATACCCTTCAACATAACGAAATTGACTGTTGTGAGCGCAGCAGCTGCCAATAGGAAAATGAATGCGGCACCGGAGACAAGGCTGATGACAAAACGGCTGAATTTCTTATTTATGACAATAATAGCGGCGAGCAGTTGGACGGCTGTAAGAATAATGGCCAAGATGTATGTAATTTGCATCCAGGTCGAGGTTGTTTTATATGCACGCAGTGAGTGTCGAAGAGCTGACGAAAGATTGGTCTCCTTTCCCTCCTCGCCCATAGCTTTCAGCACATTGAAGTATGAGCCAGCTCTCGGAGACATGCAATTCATTGTCGTGTTGCTGTTATCATTTCCACAGTAACCCATTATGCCGACCAGGTAAGTCTGGTTTAATTGGCTCCCATCCCATGTTGTACTCAATGCATTCGACGTGGAAAGATTTCGGCTATTTTGGATATCGATCTTTATGCGAAAAGTATGTTAGACTTGATGACCGAAACTGCAATTACGTTCGAGACTTACTTGGAAAAAGTTGAGTCTTTCAAGTTCATGACTTCCCATCTTTGTACATGCCAGACCGATCACAAGAAGACACAGTAGTGTCCCGAAATTCAGCAAACACGAAGTAGTCACAAATAGAACTCGGTAAAGATTCGCCATGGCTAATGAATCCGGTAATGGTGATGCTGTCTGCAAAAGAGCGTTTGATTATCCTCTGAGATGTCCTCATAGCGATGAGCCATGATTTATAAGCTGGTGGAAACCGACTGATCGAAGAAAATTCCCTCAATATGCTTGGTAGCGAGAGACGAATTATTGATAGCCCCCCTACTCTTGAAAACCCTAAATATCGTAGTCGTGACGGGGTTCAACGCTTGATTAGAGACGTGGCTGGATCAACTCAATTAACCTAACTCAGGGCAGATAATAGGTTAATAGTTAAACTAAACTTAAAACCTGCCGAGTGGGTCTGACCCTAATAAAATTGGGTAAGAAACCGAGATACGGATGCGAACTTCCTATTCGGGATAAGCCTCAGAAGAACTTTCAGCAGCACCAAGCTTTTCACGTTCCGGTTCTTGGTAGGGATCTTCGCGACTCCACCCTCCTATACCAGTATGCCGAGGACTCTCCGTGTAGGGCTACATGGGAAACGGAACTTTTCAGGCACCACATGCGCCGGAAAGAAATAGCGCACCCCGACGCCCTCTGCTAAGAGGCCTGAGCCACAAATAGTGTTCAAAAAGTCAGCTTTCATGGGAACCAGAGCCCTTGTACAATTGGCGAAGACGCACTATTACACTACAAAATCACAGGCAGGCCACTAGTTTTGCAACCTTTTCAAACAGAACCCCACCTATGTCCTGGCCCAGGGAAACGGATTGATTGACTGTAGTCCAAGTAGGCATTGAAATGAAAAAATAAGATAAGCATCTCCTCTTTAGACGGTATGCCCAGCCCTATTTCCTAATATATAAGGCACAGATTTCCCGCGCGATCTCTGTTTTCCATAACAGAGTCTAAGAATCCCAAGAAACTTCATCTACACAATGGCGGACGCAGAGAAGGTTTACCGAGCTCACCCCAGAGACCTACCGACCTACGATCAGGCCACCTCAGAAGAGCTTCGCAGGATCACCCAGAACCCTAGCTGGAACTATTCTCTCTTTGACTGTTGTTCACCAGGCACATTATGTCAGTAATGACTCTCCAATGCCCTTTTCCGTCGCAATACCTAACCGATCCGATGCCTAGGCTTGACCAGCTGCTGCCTCCCATGCCTTGCCTTCGGCAAAACGCAATCACGACTTCGTGACCCCACACTGCAGAGCTACGACTCGATCAACGGTGATGTTAGTTGTCGACACACTTTTAAACCCTCTAAAAACTAACGCCGTCTAGTGTGTGATCTGGTCCTTCCTCAGCCTTGGTCTTACACAGTGGATCTATCAGACTATTAGAAGAGGCGAGCTGCGCAACAAGTATGGGATCGAGGGATCGTGCTGTGGCGATTGCTGTGTGAGCATGTGCTGTGCCTGCTGCGCACTCATCCAAGAGGAAAAGGAGGCTGAAATACGTACCAGGCCTCAGGTTACAGGGTACCAAATGGCACCTCAGATGGCGTATCCTCAATAAGCCGGCCTTGGTTACGGAAACTTGACATATTTGTACCATAGTATCATACCTAATTGGTGTATTGAATTTTGTTTTAACTGCTTGGCTTCAAATACACACACACACACACACACATATATATATATATATATATAACTCTATGGTTATTCTATACACGCTCTTCCTGAGATCAGCAAGATAATATGTAGACTGTAGCATGACTATTCAACCTGTGGTGGCACAAGAGTAGAAACTAGTCTGATACTTCTAGATTAAAGCTCAGATTACCAGGGAAATTTCCCAGATAAGCTACCAGAGCCTTCAAAGATTCATCAAGGTCCAGATAAAGCTTCGCCCAAGGCGCCACCGTTTAAACTTAGTGCTGACGGTGGCTTCAACGGCTCGAGGATCGTCAGGGATACGGTGATTAATGTGGAAGGTGTTGTAAGTCGGCTCCATTTGTGGTATTCGGCCTGATCCTTCAAACCACATGAATTACCCTGTAGCCTATTAGGGAGTTCACGCTGGATGACCCTCGGCTTCTCAGTTGTGTATGCAGAATCTAACTAATCCTTTCAATCGAACCGTTTTCATCTTTTATCACAAGCCCAGAGCTACATGATCAATCTATACATAGCATATATAGATTGACGAATTTTAGTACTATTTCAGGGCAATGTACCCTGGGCGGAGGTTTTCTGCTGGCCAGGGCCCACTATAGCGTCTATTACTGAATCTGAAGTCGGGAGAAAATTTCTCGATACTCGGCTTCATTAGCTAGCAGGATAGGGTTCCACGTTTGCCACCCCAGCGCATCAATAGAAATAACATCGAACATTCTAACGTGCGCTTATTCTGAAGTTGTATGTACTATTTTGAAGCATATGGTTTCGCCGAAAGAGGACCCACAAGACTCCCAGGGGTGGAGAAAAGTCTAAATGCGAAGACGACCTTCCCGAACAGGATTTAGAGCCCTTTTCTGTCTCCACATCCCCATATTCGTCAGTTGGAGTGCCTATTCGGTATTGTTTTACCCACCTCAGGGCAGTTCGTGTTCGCGTTTAGTCTTACTGTGTTATTTAACCAAAGAAATTTATAACTTTCAGATGAATCTCATAACATGGTCTAAAAACCAACACCAACATTCAGATCCTTTTCCCATCTTTGTTGGATGGGGTTATTGATGGAATTGTTCCGAACATGACGGCTTGTCATTATAGGCCATATTCATCTGTCAATCAGACGTTTCAGTGTCCTAATAATAAGAAACGCACTATTGCGCTCAGCCTTGACGCGGCTGCTATTGTGGATGCCGCTTGGTCGGGTCCCCGGGAAAGGAATGGTGCATTGCTCTAACCTGGGGTAAATCCCGGCTCGGTTACCAGCGGCTTTGGCTCAGTGCCTGGAGTGAATAGCACTGGATCGATTGAGCAGTTCAATCTTCTCATTGCAAAGAATACTAGTTTCGATACCGCGGGGCTAAGTCACGATGAGTATCTGAGCCTCTTCAACCTCGCTGTGCAGGAGTACAGTGACTTCATGAATACGGCGGACCCCAATTTGACTGAGTTCCGTAAGCTGGAGGAAAGCTCATTCATTACTTATCGTGGAATGGTAGGCCTAAACTATGCTCACTTATTCATAACGTGATCGCCGAACTGACTTCTTCTCATACAATTTAGGCCGATCTCAACATTCCGACGAGAGGCATGGAATTCTACTACGACAATGTGAAGGCCATGTTCCCCGACGTTCAACAGTTATATCGTGTCTTTGAGTCTCCCGGTCTGGGGTACTGTTCAGGAGGAAAGAGCGGACACCCCACGACTGTCTTCAATGTCTTGAGACGCTGGGTTGAAAATGAACCTTTCATATCCATTCAGCCCCATCATAATTCTTGTTAAACATTGCTTTTACTCTTTCAGTTATCTACTAGCTTATATTTTGACTTCATCGACTGCTTCAGTTCGGTCGAAAAACGAGTATACCAGAAACTCATTGAATAAATCTATCCTATTAGCCGTAAGGTCCTTATACCCGCGCCTTTTATTCTCACAGTACTCACAAGAGGCCTAGCAGGAGCATCATGCCGTTATTCAAGCGCCGGGATACAAGTGGCAGCAGCAGCAGTAGCAGCAGCGCCAGCAGCAGCGCCAGCAGCACGAAGCCTGTTGGTGGGGGCCGCGAAAAGCGTCCTGACCCTCATTGCATAGACTGTGGTGGTGGGGTTGTATTTGTATTCCTATGGCCCATGTCGCGAGTGCCGAGGAACGAAGCGAAACCCCTTCTATCCAGACCTTGCATGTTCTGCCTGCAATGCGCACGGGCGTGTGCGGGTAAGCCGGGTTGGCTGTGGATGTCGATTTGAATCCATCTCCGGGTTATTGTTCCTCTGTAGCTTCTGGATCTTCTTGCTCATGTACAACCTGGTTATCTGTCATCTTAAGTTATTGTGATTGTGCGTGTGTATTCGTCAACCGTTTGCGAAGTGTTACCTGTCTAACTTCCATGCATCCAAATGGGCGACAATTATCTCTACTTAACGTCGTGAGCAAATAAAAACATATAGAAAAGTGTGCACGAGTTCACAAATCAAGCAAATGATGATCCATCTAACGATCTCCCATGCTCTCAATTTCCTTCTGCTTCGCTTCTTCTTCTTCAAACTCCCTTCGTATGATTCTCTGTTCCTCCTCCCACTCTCTCGTCTTCTCAATATTTCTCAACTGCTCCAGAAAGTTTGTCCAAAATCTGGGCTTCACCTTCCTGTCCAACCACTCCATGTCTTCTGGATGGTCGCGCATATGGTCCAACTCTCGGACGGGGATCCTCCGCGCACTCCTTAACCTTCGCCGCACTATATCCCGAACGGGCGGTTTTTCTGAAGGCTTGTATGGTGCTGGTGTAAATGGCACACTTTTAAGCTCAGCTTGTACGTCCTCGAATTGAAGGATTTGGGGCTTGTCGATGCTATATTCAATCATCAACAAAGGCCACTGCATTGCAGTTCAGTACTGAGTGTGGTGCATACAATTTACTTCCGTCCCATTCATAGCACTCAATCGGTACTTTGGAGTCATCATCACCTGGGGCAGTTCCATATCAGAAAGAAACACATTCGGTGGCTGTATCCGAATTCATCACCGTAGGTGTACCATCGGTGCACGTGACCGTCGAAATCGCATTTCCAAGTATGTTGGCAGATGGTGTCAAGCATGGTGAAGAGCTTGTAATCGTATATGTTCTTTTCACCAGCTTGGTTGGTAGAGGGTACCAGGTGGGTTAGAGTTTGGACGAGAACACGGATCGGGGAGAGGGACAGAGTGGGTGGAGGGGTAGGGTTGCGATTCGGCAAGGGGTCGAGTGACATCGTTTGTGTGATTCTTTATAAAACTGATGAATACCAAAAGAATGAGAAGGCAGAATTAAGTGGGAGGGACGAAAAAATAGGAAGGGCGGAGGGATAGGAATTCGTGGGATTGGGATGGTGGATGGATGGACAGAACCCAGCGCTTAGTGGAGGCGGGACACTAACACTTTAGTTCCTGACTAGACGCCCGTGCAGCGCCACGCGGAAATCTGTGTCCGGGTAGATGATGTGCAGCTTCACGTCTCGTTTTGATCCACATTACTTCTCTTCAGCTAATGCCTTTGGAGTCACAGGACGGGCAATCTTAAGCGTAGCATCAGAGTTTACTACAATAGGTGTTTTGGTTGGTAGTTTTGGAGACCCGTTTACTCACACTGCCACTGTTGCTAGCCCACCATTATGCATTGAAGCTCAGCTCTGGGCTTTGTTATCGCTTGTTACTGCTTTATACGGACTAAAATACTGCCAAGAAACCTATCTCCCGAAGAAAGCCAATTAGAAGTGCTTCCTCTTCACAATCAAATCAGTATTGGTTTTCATAAGCTGCAACACATGAAAAGCTTACTCTGTAGATACCAGAATCGGCAAATCGTGAATTATTGTCTGGCATTTCCCGGTAGGAATTATGATCACCGTATAGTGCAGGCCAGTACCGTGTCACAGAGCTTGCTGAAGTATCATTGGGCTAAATGGCACATCAATATCAGTTCTGCAATCCTCATTCACTGAGTGAGTGGGACCCACCACAACACAGCAGACTTCTCAGGTGTTACCTTCCCTCCAAATTCTAGACATCTCCATGACACGTTCATCACGCTCTACAATCCCAACTATCATCAAATTCTCTTTGGCCGATACGAATGTCATCAACCGGCAGTTGTGCGAATTGCGGGAAGGAGGCGAAGTGGAGGTGCTCGGGGTGCAGAGGCGCACCAGAATACACTCCCGGCGATGCCTTGCCAGTCTTTTACTGCGGGGTGTCCTGTCAGGAGGCGCACCAACCCGTCCACAAAGATCACTGCAAGACCATGCGTCGTCGAAAGAAACTTCTGCGGACGGCAGTCATCGCCAAGGCTGCATTTTTGGGGTACAGAGAACTTCATTTCGACGTTGACATTACCAACATTGAGCGGCGCGACAACAATCTGTATCTTTCCATCAACCAGATGATCTTGGATAGGGATTCCTTGACTCTGGGTCGTCCTTTCCCAGAGAATTTGACCACGGACCCCAAGCATCAAGAGGCAGTCCTCACATGGCTTCAAGGAATTACTGCCTGTCCCTTGTCGTGCCGCTTGGTGACAAAGCTTTTGGCAGGTACGATTGTTCCCACTTCTTCAATACTCTTTGTACACGTTGGGCGACCTGAAGCTGACACCGGTTAGACGTACCGTGCGAGATTTCTATGCTGGGGGTCAACGTTGGAAAGAGAAGCTTGAATATTCAGGTCGTTTGCCACTCTGACTCCGTTGACATTACTGGCCCGGATACTGCTGGTATACCACACCACATCATAAAGGTCAGAGTCCGGCAGCCGGGCGCTGATGAGACCTGGATTGTGGACCTCACTGGCGCTCAGTACGGCATTCAGGCTGCCCTTACCCCATATTCTAAATATATGGCAGATCAAGAGTGTGCGATTGTGGGCAATCCAGAGCCATACAATATGACTGAGACCTGGGATTTGGATGTCGCGTCAGCCAAGTTAGCGGAGGTATTTGGAGAAATTCTGAGCTCTGTGCGTCAGCCACGTCTGCGTTTTGCTGCTTTTGTCGATACGGTTGACGAAGAGATTTTAAAGGGGTCACCCGAGGAGTTCGTTCATAAGTTGGCACAATTCCGAGTAGCACTGAAGCAGTACATGTTGAACGAACCCCAAAATCCTTGAAGGTTGTCTTCTAATGATCGTATCATATGGCATGGATCTGAAGAGGGAAACTACTTGGGAAGCACCCACGCAAATCATGTTGAAAGATTAGTCCATCAATCTGTTGCAATGAATGGAGAAGATGAATTCACTCATGGCTGGGCATGGAAATTGGGTCTTATGTTTCTTACTCCATAGTTTCACTGCATGCGGCGGTCTACTGGTAGGTACGTAAGTGAGGATTTCTGGGACAGCGATTGCATATTTCCTCATCGAATTCATTCAATTCGCGATAGAAGATATGCTTGCAAGTTGATGCCTAGTTGCGATACAAGGAAATGTCGATCATGCCACACAGAACCCGAGATAGCATAATTCAACTGAATCCTCCATCTGAAACAACCATATCCCACATACATGTCACTATCTCATCTTTCAAAGTTGACAAAGGCCGCTAAGAACCACAGCAAAAACAAGATAGGATTTCAAGCTGGGCTCCGAGCTCGACACGGATCCAGAATTCTTCCCAGACCTACAACCAACTGTCTGGAGACGGTGACCCTCCGTAAGACAGTCCATCAGCGTTGACTGGGTGTCCTTGGTCGCGTTGCAGTAAGCGGCACAGTCATCCTCGCCGTAGTAGCTGTACTGGTTGCTCTTGCAACATTTCACTAAGTCGGCATATGGGTCTTGCGTCCGGTTGAGTCCTTGTTGCCAGATAGTAATGGCACAATAATATGGATAGCTCAGTATAGGCGTCTCACTATGGCCAGCACATCGGTCCTGTTCCATAGTACTGTTTGTGATGTTCATGATGCGAGACGATTTTCGACGTTGTTCTACTGGCTTGTATCAGGGGAAATACCTTGGACACACTCGAGGGACAGATACATACGATAGGGGTGTTAATCTGTTAGTATAGGTAGGGGGAGCCGGGGTATGTAACACAAAGTAGAATGGAGCGGGTAACAAGTATCGAGTATCGAGCAATTTTGGGGAAGGGGTGGCGTTTTTTTCCTGTAGATATTCTTAGGCTCACATTCACACAGAAAATTTCACTAACTGACTTCTAAACACAAATATTTACTCCCTGGTTTACATCAAGCCTATTTCAAAAACTTATTAAATGATTCACTTGCTCTTTTAATGCTCATGTTACTTTCAAGACAAGTCAGCGTGATGTACTGTAGCCTTGAACAATTTCAGAAGGCTGACGGCAACAGGGTCGAATCCTTTAGGCTATATTACTTGTCTCACAAATTATTAGGCCAATATATCTGCCCTACAGGGTTGCATTACTGGGCTGTGCTACGACTTTACGGAAGTAACCGAAATCACTCGTGAAATTCAAATTGTCCATGTGGTAAGTGGGTCGAAGGATGGCGGCCTTTAGGCTTTGCCCAACTTCGAGACCCTGCAGTGCGGGGAAGCTGGCTGGGGCAGAAGCCTAGCATCTTGGCAAACTACCCCTTTCCAATCTCTATGTGCACTAATGTATATGGAAAGGGTGGGAAAACTGCCTTCCATCTCCAAGTCCACCTGAGATATAGTCACCTATGAGACCGTTTTGGGTACGCATCCAGTCACTAAACAATCAAATTTGTTCCTGTAATGGCTACTGAGAATGTGCTCATCTATAAGCTGTGTTCATATTTCATATGGCTTGTCGGAAGAGATAGATGACATTCTGAGACAGAAAGTTTCAATAGACGAGATAGTCATATGACCGTGGTCTAAGTGACAAGGCTCTCTGGTAGGCCGCACGGTCATTTGAGTCATTAATTTCTTTTTGGTATTTTCACTAATGCATGGAAAACAGGCCAATGCAACCACAACGCAACGACTAGATGAACGACGATGTAACGCCATATTCAATACCAGTCCTGTCGTCAGCGGTGACCGACACTCCTATTTCGTAACACTAAAAGGCTTTGACAGAGTAGTCTGTGGGGGTATATAATATAAGACTTGCTACAATGGCAGGCCTAACTCTAGACTCTCAACTATTAAAGACTTTCCTCCCCCGCGCGAGACCATGATGAAAATACTAAAAATTTCTTTGACTCTTTTCCTGGCACTTACGGCGGCTGCCCTGGCGGCGCCATCACCTTACACTCAGGAACATAAATACGCTCGAGTCACAGTGCAGCAACAAAAGATCACCTCCGAGAAGCAAATTTTGGTGAAGGATGGCTCTACTGGAGATATACTTGGTTCCGCCTGCTCAAATGCCCTGACTCCGACTTCGGTATCGTCGCAGATGTTGACCTAACGGCGACGGCAATATTACTGCCGGGCCTTCCACATTTGTTGTTCACGAGGATCCCCAGTACTCCTATGGTATCACTTGTTACAGAATGTACAATGATTATGAGTCGTTTGTGGTATGCGATGGCGTTCCTTTGCCCACCACTGTTCCATTGGACCCTATAAAAGGGAACGACATATCCCCTTGTTTCAGTGACACAGTAGACATGACTTTACAGCGAGCAGCGCAGACCATCCATGTTGTGGATACTTTTCCAGTGCCTGGTTCTGAAGCAAACTCCACAAGTGCTGTGTCTACGAGCAATTTGGAGCAGCGACAAACCGGCACGTGCAGTCAGTGGTCACCTGCTACAAGGAAAGTTGGAGACGGCGATCCCCATCAAAACTATTGGCGGAAACAGTTGAGCGTGAGTCAATAATGCACTTTCTTTTGATCTGACAAGAGAGACTGATGTGGGAAGAATAGGAGAACCTGGATTGCGTGGGCGCAGACCATTGCAATGTTGGCGCATCCCAGTCAAACTCGTATGCAATCGGATGGACGGCGACTGCAGATGCATCACAATGGATCTCAGGCGGGTTTGCAGTGCAGGCGAGCTGGACAACTGGGCTTGACTATCAATGCACTGCTAGCTCCCATCAGACAGTCTGTATCTGGTACAACACCTCTCACGCTGCGTACACTGTTCAAAACGGACTTTACAACGTTTGCACGAGATTCAACCCTAACAATGGTGCCGCCTTCGTCATATTCTCGCCAAACCAGAATAACAAATGGTGGCGGATATTATTGTGTTATTGGCACATGTCGCAGCCAGGGGCAGAATTACTGGGACAAAAGTGGTCCTGCAGGTGGGCCTTGATGGATCTCAACTGGTACCAATGATGTAATGATGGTAGAATGAGGCTTGTTTTTGTGCAGTGTGTGGATCTTAGTGAATCAAGTGCATTAGAAAATGGATTTCCTGAATTTTTCAGTATGGGCCGTCGATTATGGCAATACTTCGTAGACAAATCAGCCGTAGATATGCCATGTGGGATAAACTGATAGAACAGCACTTTCGGGGCTTCCGTAAGGTGTGTTTCTGGAATCTGCTCCTGGACATTAATGCGCCGGACCATCTTGGTGAAGGATGGGTAACTTCAGCTCTTTCATCTCGTATTGAGTAGGTAGAGATGATAATTGACGTTTTTAATGGGAAAATATCTCACCGAACCCTTGAATGTATCTAAGCTTAGTATATAAATCTCTTATATACTAAGCTTGATACATTCTAATATACCAGTTCTATCAGAGAAACCTGAAATAATGAGGTTTGGCTGTAGTATCACAGCTCAAAAATTGTTCTTAGTAAGCTCTTGGCATTTACGTTAAATATACGACTATCAAAACAATCCAGTATCAAAAAGTTTATATCGACCAGAAGTTATTCTTCCGAGATAACAGCTAAAAAAGGTATATGTAGGGCATCGATTAGAAAGCTAAATTTTCCATGTGTGGCATGACCAGATATGCACTCAAGAGGGGCATGAAGTGTGGCGTTGAATCAGTCTCTTGAGATAACATTAAATCTGTCGCTCTAAACAGGCACTTTCCTTCAAATTATCTCGTAGCATCTCTATCGAAGGCTGATCTTTCTACTTCGCTATATTTAGAACGAGGTCTTACATATAGATAAGATTACAGATATGATCTTCCCCTGATCTTTCCCCGGCCATCGTAACAGCCGATGATTTCCCCATGGCGTAGGTCCTGTGGGGACCGGACGGTATCAACTAGTAAGCATCACTGGGAGCTAAACCATAAGTGTATAGCTGTGCTGCTGGGCCAGTTTTACCTGGCGGGGGTGCCCTTTTTAGGCCCCTGTGAGTTGTCCATCTATATATGCCGGATCACCCGGGCCATCCAAGTTTCCCTTCCATTGAATTGAAATTTGGCCTTATATCACACCACTTCACAATGGCAACAATCAACGGCCACTGCAACCCGGCCTTCACTCCGGTGCGCGATCTCCTACAGCAATTGATCAACAATGAAGAAGAGCTAGGAGCCTCCATCTGTGTCAATATCGACGGCCAGAACGTAGTTGATCTCTGGGGCGGCCACGCAGACCCAGCCCGAACCAAGTCATGGGAAAAGGACACAGTAACCGTGGTATGGTCCGTTTCAAAAGTTATCACCGCCATCGCAACCAACATCCTCATCGACCGTGGCCTATTGAACCCAAATGAGAAGGTCTCTAAATACTGGCCGGAGTTCGCTGCGAACGGCAAGGAGAATATCCTGGTATCACAGCTTCTCAGCCACACCTCGGGAGTATCATCCTGGGAGCTTCCCAACACCTTAGATGATATATACGATGCAAAGAGAGGTGCCGATAAACTAGCCCGACAGGCTCCCTGGTGGAAGCCCGGCGAACGTTCCGGCTACCACGTAGCCAACCAGGGCCACTTGCTCGGCGAACTTGTCCATCGCATCACCGGAAAACCGTTGGATGAGTTCATCCGCGACGAGCTTGCCAGTCCATTAGCTGCGGACTTTCAGCTCGGTGTCCCAGAAAAGGACTGGCAGCGGACAGCAGATGTTTCCCCGCCGCCGCCACTAAGTCTCGATGGTGTTGACCCGCAGAGTGTTATGTTCAAGAGCTTCGCTAGTCTGCCTATGCCAGCTGAAGAAAGTATGGGTCCTGGGTTTAGGAAGGCGTTGATTGGTGCGACGAATGGATTCTCTAATGCTCGTGGAATTGCGCGCATTGCGTCGGTCGTCTCGCTTGGAGGCAGGGTGGACGGAAAACAGTATCTTTCTCCTGAAACTATCGACCGCATGCTGGAGGAGCAGATCAGTGGGCCGGATTTGGTGTTGATGTATCATTTGCGTTGGGGACTTGGTGTTGGGTTGCCCGTCCCGGAGACGTTTCCTTGGTTGCCTGACGGTCGCATTGCTTTTTGGACGGGCTGGGGTGGTTCGGTGGTTGTTATGGATCTTGAGCGACGGATGACGATTGCCTATGTGATGAATAAGATGGGATCGGGCACGTTAGGCTCAGATAGGACGGCGGCTTATGTGCGGGCTGTCTATGATTGTCTGGCGTAGGTGTGTTAGGTCTCACGAATATATATTATGAAGATAGTCATGCGGTTCATCGTAGAAAGTAAACAATGACTGGTACTATAGTACTATCTCGACCCTTTTTACAAAGTAGGGAATCGAAGGTAGCAGTATAAATTTAAGTCGTAATAATAATCATCATAAATAAAAAGAAAAGAGGTATGCAACTACTCTGACTGTGAGTAGTGGTACTGTTGGACGGTGCGGAAAAAAAAGCATAAAGAATGACCAGACTGGGGCTCGATCCCAGGACCTTATCGGTGTTAACGATACGTGATAACCAACTACACCATCCGGCCAACTTGTTGAAAGAAATAATAAGTTATTGTTATACAAGTCTACATTCTATTGTACCCAAAAAAACTCCACCGAACAAGTCTTTTTGGCGACCATAATTCCTCGATCAAAAGCCCAATGCAGGTTTAGAGGCAGCAGTGTATGTCTACCGCCCTAAGCAGACTGGCAAAAAACCCCACCGCTGTAACAACTTGTGTTGATGTAGGCTGTGGGATAACTGTATTGGCTACGATCTTCTGGTGGCTTCTCTGTGTCGTTTCAGATAGTATTAACATATGTTGTATTAATGATGCTCTCTATTGCGGAATAGAAACTCTTTATAGGGATTCTGGCTCTATATAAAGAAATCATTCCACATGGAAGTTTAGTGCCTGGGCTGAAATGTTAGCGACCTTGTAGGCTAAGGCATGGAAGTGTGTCGATGTCAGCTTTCAGCGCGTCGAACCCAACTAAGAAGCTGGAGCATTTCTTGAAAATGTTCATGGGGCTGGACACCATCACCTCCCCTTTAAGAACTCCTAACCCTATACAAACAACCTCTCCCTCCTCATCCCCAACGAACTCACAACCCCAACAGCCCCCGCAACCAACGGAATAATAAACGCCCTCGCCATCGCATCCGTAATAGCCTTGATAGCCCGTTCCCTCAACTCCCCACTCAAGCTCTTCAACAACGTACTCTGCACCCCGGCCATCGCGTTCCGAATATCCGCCTCTCTATACCCCCTCCCATCCAGCACCGCATTCAGATTATGTACGGCAGTGGACTGAAACACCTGACTTGCCACCACAAGGCAAATAACCGTCGCCCCGATCTGCGCCACGTTCTGTAAATTGATCGCGCTGAAGATATCCTCGGCAAGTACCTTGAGACTAGCTACCGCGTACCCCAGCTGCATGGTCATACCCGTGCCAAGACAGACAGGCTCTGGCAAGCCCACCACCAAGATTACTACAGGTGTCCCGAATGTCCGAGAGTGACAGCCCCAGGATTCGATCAAGGGTATGGGTCGGAGAGGGCAGGAACTGCGCCGAGTAGGCACCGATCCAAAGTATCAGAGCAGCCAACTCGATGTCTTCCACAGAGAGGGGCCACTCCTTCGTCCACCACTGTTGATACTGTATCAGAAAGCTGGGCGGGTGGATGATCTGTTTCATCCTGTTCCGCGGGGCATCAGTCGACCATGAGTGCAATATTCTCATTAATCAGGAACCTACCAGTTCAATTCATCGACGAAGTACTGCATCAGAAATCTAGGATCGGACGGGGAGGGATTCTTTCCAGGTCTTGTTTGACCTTCTGTAGCACTTCACTTGACATGCCCTGGGTGCTTTTGTCTGTGTCCCCTTCGCCATCCAAGTCCCACTAGGCCACTTCAGTCAACCACATGTTTAGGGGGAAATTCGAAAGTGCTTGTGTGCATCTTACCTTCTTTAGCAAAGCCATTGTGTTAGAATCACTGTGCTCGAAGTAGCCGAACGATCTAGCCAGAGCTGAGCGTGAATTAGACGAGCTATTCTGTGTCTCGGCCGGAGAGGCCTTGGGAGAACCATGTGATAAGTGGATATTGGGGGGTTCCTGGGGCTCACCGTCTCTCGTAGGCTTCAAGAGCAAACTGTTCGAGGAGTCTCCAGTAATGATGGAGTGGTAGACACACTCCTCCGGCCGTCGACGTCGGGTGCAATGGTTGCACGGGTATTGGCGGTTGCACTAATTATTTTTGAGGTTGGCATCGAAACTCGAGTTTTCCACTGCATTCAACAGTGGCGTGATGGTTACGCACCCTCTGTTTCCTGGTGTAGCAGGGCACACAGGTGGTGACCCGACGCTTTCGGCCGATGGGATGCATTGCGGCTCTTCCCATCTTGTCGACACCTTAACAGCAGCGGGCCCGATGCCTAGCTATCAGAGGAGGTTTAGCTGTTCTTCTTTCAAAAGCTGATACGTTGTGGAGGGATGATGGGAAATAGCTTACTGTGGAACAGTTTCTGTGTCTGGAGGTCGCTTCGGGATAGTGAGGGGGTATGTCTCGACCACCATTTGGAGTGACCGACCAAACAAACTGTCAGACATTTGGCGCCAGACGTCCACACGAGCAGTCGGTCCGTGAGCCTGCATGTGGCTCAATTCCAGTCCGGATAAGATCGTGTTCGTGGGCGATATCTCTTTCGATAACTATGTGTCCCAGACGCGTGATTGGGACTACAGTGGCAAGTACTCAGCTACTGGTGCCTTTCCCAACATGCTGGCCAACCGCATCCACTACGTTTTCAACCTCAAAGGCCCGAGTCTGTTGATCAACAGTGCATGCACCTCGGCCATGTATGCGCTTCACCTGGCTATAACCTCGATTCGCAACGGGGATTGTAATTCGGCTATTGTAGCCGGCTTCAACTGGGTTATGGACCCCAACTACCATATTGCGATGGGCAAGCTGGAGGCCCTGTCACCATCCTCCAGAAGTCACACTATCGATGCATCGGCAGATGGGTATGCACGCGGCGAAAGGTTTGCAGCACTTCCTTTGAAATCGGCTTCGCTTGCAACCCAAGATGCGTCTCCAATCCGTGCCCTAATTAGAGGCAGTGCAGTGAATGCCAACGGGCATACGAGTGGTATTACCAACCCCAGCCATGCAAGCTGCGCATTCTGACCCAACACATCCTGTTTGCGGTGTCTTCAACTTCGCCGTATCTTACCAGGACATCTCATTTGATGAGATGACTGAAGCCCAGTTTCACGAAGGCATGGCGGCCAAGGTCTTCGGCGTCAAGCACCTGCACGACGCCACGACCTCCATCCCTCTCGACGTTTTTGCCATGACCTCTTCCTTGGGAACTGTCTACGCCTTCCCTACCCAAAGCACCTACCTCGCTGCCAACAATTACCTTAATTACTTCGCCCGCTACCGCCGGCGGCTCGGCCTCCCTGCCAGCCACAACTGTCGCCCTGGGTTCCATCAACGACCTGGGCCCACTGACCAATGACCCCGTTACTGTCAACCTCTTCGTCCGCGCCAAGGATCAAACCATGACAGGGGCCCAAGTGGTGCGCATGCTCGAGCCAGCCTTTGTGAATGAACAACCCAATGCCCTTTGACTCGGTCATACCGATGACCTCCTCTCTTCATCTCACAAGTCACTGGTATCGACCCAGCCGTCCTTGCCAAAATGGCCCGATCCTCGTCGGCCTCTATCGCCTCATTCTATGTTTCCAGATGGTACCGCGATCCTCGCGTCTCTTTGATGCTTCGTGCGCTAGACGACGCCTCGTCCGCCACCTCTTCTCTCAGCAGCTTGGACACTCACGCCTCTGACGCATCACCTACTGCCCAACTGAGACGAGAATTCGACTAAATGATTACCACGCTCTAGGCTAGAGCTAAGGAATCAAAGGGGGATGCATGGACGGAGACCATCGAGTTCGTGACTAAGGCCGTTCAGGCCACCGTGGCGGCCATGTGTTTGTGGATGTGGGGAGCGTGAACGGCAACAAGACAGTGGTGGAGCATGGCATTGATAGTTTGTTGGCGGCAGAGTTCCGCAATTGGTTCCAAGGGGCGTTTGGCAGGGGTGTTAGTATGTTGAAGTTGATGGATGCGAGGATGAGCTTAACAATGTTAGCCAGGTCCGTGGTTGAGGGAGCGGTCGGAGCTAAAGTGTAGGAGTGATCTCGTATACCATTGAGGATCCAGCGGTTTCCCATGAACAAGTCTACATATAAGCATGTGGTTATGTACATCACATTTTGCTAATATCCACATTTACTAACGATCTCCATGTCTTGTCTCAACCCCGCTGACACACCCCCAACATGATCTACCGCCCACTCAATATACACTAGATATCCTGTGTCCAAATGCCCCCTAACCCCGTCTAGAATATGCCTCGGCCACCCACAAATAAACCACACATGGTCCAGCCGATCAAGCAGATAAAGAAAGAACGCAAACATAATCAACGCGACCGGCTCCCTCCGCTGTAAATCACCCACCACGGCATCCGGCAACTGATACAACCACGCGAAGACGAGCGGAAAGAGAGCCATTCCCATTGTTCCCTGCGTATCGGGGCCCATTATGGTGTCGAGGCTGTCACCTAGTCGATCAAGGGTTTGCAGGTAGATAGGTAGTCGTGGATCCTCGATGGGTATGGATGTCATGAGGAGGGCGCGGTATGTTTCTAGGTGGTGGCGGTAATCTTCTAGTTTTGTCCTTCGTTGTGAGGTAGACTCGGAACCGTCGCCTTGTGTCTCACTTCGCGGGTCCTTAGACGCAGGCGCAGAATTATTGTCTTCTCCATGGATTGCAAATACACTTGTTGGCATGTCCCCACTACACAGCTCGAATACAGATCGGACACCTAGAAACAGGAATAGATGACCTGGGTCCCCGTCGCTGCGGAAAGCGAGATACTCCCCCGGTTGAGGGCCACGGGCGAGACTTGAGATGAAGATGAAGATCGCAGAGACATACATTGCGGGGCTGTTATTCCGGTCAAGATGCGGTAAGATGGCTGAAACGTCTCGGACAGCAACGTTAAAGTGGCGTTCAGCTTCGGTGTAGATTTCTGATTCTGCGAAACCCAGGCTTTGACTCCATCGTTGATCGTCCGAACGTCGCACGAGATGGAATCCAGAGAAAGCGAGGAGGATGTGCATGACGTAGTGGTGGGCGAAAGCGATTTGAGATAGTTGTTGTCGGGCTTTTGGTTGAGCGCCGGTTAGTTCAGGGGATGTGGAGAAGTGGTGGAAGAGGAGCATGTCCAGTGCTGTGTATTGGAAGGGGCGCTTGACTAGGTCGTTGTTTGGCGGGGTTGGGTCGGGTTCTGATGTGTGGGAAGTGCCATGGCCTCGTTTTGGGGGTCGGAAGTTCGTGGGTGTGGATGAGTAGAAGGTGTAACTATCTGTGCTGGGATCCCGTGATGGCGGTGATACTGAGTCTGATTGTTGGGATGGTGGAGTGGAATTGGGGTCGGTCTGGGGTTGAGAGCTGTAGTCGCACTCTATGGAATGGCGGAGACAGTTGGTGCAGTGTGGTTTGATCTCATCACACTGAAGATGAGTTAGTATACTCTCCAGTGGAGACATAATTGGGGGAACTGACTTTGACTCTACGCCTCTTACAGTTTTTACAGCCTAGACGGGATTTTCGATGGCCTTTGCGCGATAGTTTTTGCGTGTATGGGGTGAGGGAGGCGCCCATTGTCACAGTACATGTGATGGGTCAGAAATGGGTCATCGGCATGCCAGGAAGGCTAGACAATCGAGGAGGGATGCGGCGTGGACACCAGCGGCATGCTTAAAATTTAATGTTGGTTCCAGAAGGGCTTCAGGGGGATTGCCCCACTCAACTACCCTTCAGCCCTGTCCGGCGAAATTCCGGTTCTACTTCGGAGGGTTTCCGCCGAATGTCTGGTCCAGCAATTGTAGGTTTTGTTTTCTCTTGCAACAATTATATCTCCCTTCCATGTCTTGTATCTGCGCAGCCATTGTTTTCTCCATTCATGACTGGTACATCGGGGTAGAACATTGTGAGCCCCTCTGTGATTAATACCGGCTCCGTGCTTCATATGTCCATGCCCTCACGACGCCTTCTAACCTCTATTTTCAGAGTCGGGTCAAGTGCCATGCCAAACCCACCAGAGAAGATCCTTGGCACCGTCCCTTCCAACAGCGTCCAGTCATACCGCAGGAGGAGAAAGATTAATACAATCTTCACTTCATTGGCAGCAAAGAAGCGTCCAGGACATGCATGTTTGCCATGTCCAAAAGCCAAGTTCTCCGGGCGGTTGTAACAAGTTGTGCCTGAGACTGTCGCTGAGAATCATCGCGCATCATATAAAAACGGTATCCGTCCCAGGATACTGCATTTTCGTAGGTGTCATCATCCCACAACTTGTGTGCCTATACCGCAAGCATGTCATTCTTCGGGATGGCCCTCCCATCGGAGAGTTTCACTTCCTTAAGCGCCATCCGGCGCATTGAGACTATTTACAGATACTTTAGTCATATCTCCGAAACATATGAGAGAACAGATGGAACTCAGCTCTGCTTACCATTGGTGACTGTTTTCAGTCTCTGGCTCTCTCGGACAACTCTATCCAACAGTTTCATGTTGCACAGAGCGGTCTTTTTCCAGCCGTATTGCTGGAGAGTATCGGCAATTTCCTTGCGTAAAGATTCCAGAATCTCCGTACTTTGTACGAGATGGGTTATTTTCTGACATGTCAGGTCCGAAGTGGTGTGGATGGCCCCGACAGAAAGGATCAGCTGCGCGCCGACAGGATCATAAGGCCGACCCTTCGCGGCGTTTTCGAACCATTCAATAGCATCATCAAATATTGATGACTGTTTACCCTCTGCATCAATGTCTTCCTTTAATTGACGCCTCTCCTCCAGTATTGACTGCATGACTTTCCGAGCTTTACTCACCTGAGACCTGAGCTTGCGACATCGGGGCAAGAACCAGTGTACGATGGGGTAAAAAGCTGCAGGCCACATGCGAAGTTCTGTCATTGCTAGGAAGCCATCTATGGTATAGCTTTGAGTGATTCGCAGGCATTCTTCATTTCGGCACAGCTTCTCCCCAAGAAGCACACGAGAGGAGATGCGGGAAATGAGAGTCACTATCACACCACTCAAGTGGATCGTATGCCATTCTAATGAGTATACTCATTAGCCCTTCCACCGCCAGATCAAGGAAACAAGATTGTCTACCTTTGTTATCGGTTAACAGCTCACGGACGGCCACGGAAGTTTCATCGGCAAGGGGTTCGGTAACCTTATCTGTAAAGTATCCGGATTGAAAATCAGTAAGTGAAGACGCACAAATTTCACTATGGATGAGATTCAGTGACTCACTCAAGTATTTCGTCAGGTCATCTGCAATAACAGCCTAGACAATCCCCGAATATTGGCCACTTTCACGGAATCCGTCGAATCCAGGTAGCTTTCCATGGAATGCCTGAGGCCTTCTTAGTCTTCCACGCAAGCAAGTTATGCAACTGCAAATAATGGGAAGGCAAAGAATACCTTCATAGACCATCGGGAGAAGCTCAGATGGTTCGTGATTCCGAATCTCGTTCGCCATACTCGGGGGGGAGCATTGTCAATTTCCCAACATCGGTCTGCAAAGGTACTGGCGTATTGGGATGATTTAAAAACCAATCCCGTAATAGCCTCTGAGCATTGAAAAAGAATTCCTGCTTTACTCTGGTAGACGTAAGCTCGAAGGGTTTCTTTGGATTGAGGGCCGTGTCCTTATATGTGAAGTTCCGGATTAAGAAAAAAGAGAGCGCTAAAGCCAGCGATACAAGGACAGGAATGGGCATCATGGTGTAGCTGCTAACACTTACGCAGTCAGCTGACTCCCATTGGAAGCTGTTAGTCCACTGATTGATAAATCGGCAAATTGCTTGTAAATCCCATGAATCCCCCAGAATCCCCATTTCAGATTCGAACTTGATCGCGCAGAACCAGAGCGATTGCTACGCGGTCTGGGCCGGGATCGCGTGTGAGGGCTAGAATCTCAATATCGATGGTTTGCCGAGGCAAGGATCAGTCATACCACTACATATTTAGTGATACCTATTATAATGATAAATCGTTAGATTCGAACTTCAAGGGTTGGGACGCAGGGATCTGTGGTAATAGTGAGTCACGCCAGTCGTAGCCTTGAGTCTTATATACTAGAAAATTTGCGCGAGTAGGAGCAATCTGGGGAATCTCTGGGTATTTTTCCGGGCAATATTACCGTGAGATTTATTAAAGCATCGGGACGCTGTGTCGGGTGGCCTGCGGCCTTCCCTAACAAGGTGTTGCTAATTCATGGGGTTGGATCTCAAGATAAGGGCGGATATGAGGCATCTGCCAATGACAGACCGAGGAATAGCGATAAGACCCCCACTCTTGGGATGAAGGTGAATCAATTCATGTGGGATGTGGTTCTCAAGTTAAAGCAATGGATGTGCTACAGTGGCGTAATGGATTTTGCTTCTTTGTAACACTATTGCGAAAGCTTATCCAGGGTCATCTAATTTGACACTCAGAGCTCGTCTAGGTGCAATTTGTTGACAGACAAGATCTGAAAATGGTTAGATGTACAGGTGCAATTTATTCGAAATAAGTAATATGCACAGGAAGGAACAAAGGGAACCAAAGTGACAGCGGAAGAAAAGTTAAAAGAAGTTATATCGTTGGAATTGCCACAAATAATATTATCATTGTTATCAAAAAGTTGGTTTGAGTCAATAGTTGCATTGATCACGGTGTAGAGCAGGGGCTACGTGTAATTGCTTTTTCCAGGCGCCTAATTTTCACCCAACACTTCCTAACCCCGCTCTGAATCCCAAATGCACCCATCGTCAACTCACCCATCGTCAACTCACATTGTTTTCCCAACTGGGGCAAGCAAGATGACCTGTAAGGAGACCTTGAAAGGCATTTTCAAGCCTAGCACCTGGAAGAAGCGGAATAAAGCCGACAAGGAGGTAAGGCATAGACTTTTGACCAGCCAGAACCGGGCGTGGCTAACTGTACCCAAAGGTCGAACCTTCGTCTTCGCCCGCTTCGTCTGCACTGAGACAAGAACCACAATACGGCCATCAACCCGCCAGTACAGTTCAGGCTCCGCCAGATGAATCTAATTTCCATTGCTTCCCGCAATCGGAAAGCAAGGATATCGACCACGAGATTAGCCACGATGAAGGGAACGAAATGGAGGATATGGAAGAGATGACGGATAAGAAAGAGACGACAGACAAAAAGGCAATGGCGGGTAAGGAGGAGGCTTTTACTGAGCTTCCTAGCACGGTCGAGCAGGAGGAGCTGAATCACCGATTGCATGATAAGACACTGCGCAACGGTCTTTGGGAAGCAGCTTCCCGGAAGGTCGAGCAGGAAGTGAACAAAAACGTCATGGCCCAATTTGTCAAGCTTCTGGTAGAAGCGGAGATCAGTCAAGACGAAGAAGGAACAAGCAATGGCGATGCCAATGAAAGGGGTTATGAGGGCAACCTTGAAAAGCTGCAGCATATTGTCAAAGGCAAACTGGATGTGATACAGAATGCAAGACTGGTCGTTAGGGGCCAAGTTGTCAGGGACAAAGCGTTTGAGATATTCGGCACGATCAAGATTTTCAAGGATATCATCACAGCAACTGTTAGTGCAGAGCCTCATGCAGCTCTGGCATGGGGTTGCGTGGCGGGATTTTTCCCGGTAAGTCACTCCAATAAATACCTGTTGCAACATCGCCGTAGCCGAAGATATCTCACAGATGCAGATTAACCTTGCCCTTGATGTTATGACTTTTATTACTAGGTTGCTAACATTTGATCATAGTTGCTGGATAATGCATTTACACAGTTTGGTACCGCCAAGACTGGATTGAAAAATATTTCTGACATCTTGGTTCGTTGTCGACTCATAGAAGCAACCAATTTAATCTCTAGGGATCAGTCATCTGAAGATCAGGAGCTCCTTTCTCGAGTGAAGGACAAGATGATTGACCTCTATTCACAGTTCCTAAAGTATCAGATCTCAGTGGTGGCTCAGTACTCTCGCCCTTTCATCAAGCGTCTTCTAAGGGATGCCGTTCTCATAGACAATTGGGAAGTTATGTATAAAACTATGAACGCGATAGAAGAGAGTATCAGCCGGGATTTGGCAAGAATCAGTCAGAAGACGGTCGAAACCATCAAAGATGAATTCTCTAGACTTAGGGAGAATGTTGCTTTGATATTGGATGAGAGTAGAAATTCTCATGAGGAGATCAAGGTAGGTTGAAAATCGTACTAGCGGGCTTTCAGTTAACCATTGCAATTAGCTCCTCACACAGGACGCCTTGATCAGTGGACTGCCCGAAGCCAAATATGCTGCATTCGATACTTATAGGAAGGATATGCCCCCTCCATCATACTGCCATGAAGATACCCGGAAACAGATTCTCCGTGAAATCCAAAGATGGGGAAATGGAGGCGATGACAATTGCATCTTTTGGCTCAGAGGCATGGCAGGCACTGGCAAGTCTACCATTGCGCGGACTGTGGCCAAGATGTTCGATGACCAGCTTCTTCTTGGCGCCTCGTTTTTCTTCTCGAGAAGCAATGCTGATCGAGCAGATCCCGATAGGCTCTTTCCCACTCTGGCCCGACAATTAGCAGATGTGCTCCCCGGCTTTGCAGCACACTTGAAAGACTCCATCCAGGACAAGCATGATATGGCTCAGCAGTCTCTAGATCAGCAATGGAGAGGTTTCATTCTTGAGCCTCTTTCTGCGCTGAGCGACAAATTCTCGCATTCAATGGTTCTAGTCCTTGTTATTGACGCGTTGGATGAATGCCAGAACGGACGCATATATGCTCAGAGCATCGTAAAGCTTCTGGCGACCGCGAGAACGCTGGAAAAAGTCCAGCTACGGATCTTTGTGACCAGCCGGCCCGAGTATTATTTGGTTGATGGGTTCACAAAAATCCCTTCAACGACTTATTATGATGTGAAAATTGATGATTCTGGAGACGTGACCACAGAACGAGACATCCGTATCTTCCTCGAAGACAAAGTGTCCGAAATTGCTACAAGGAAGCAGCCTAATAACGGGTCCCCGGAAGCGTGGCCTGGCAAAGAACGAACAGAAAAGCTTATTGAACGATGTGGACGATTGTTCATCGCCGCAGCGACTGCCTGTCGATTGCTCGAGACTACTGGGTTCCTCGACGATACCTTGGATTCGTTGCTCAATACAAATAAGCAGCATGTTTCTCTTACCAAGGATATTGATGAAATGTACAAATTCGTCTTGAAGCAGGCAATCACAGAGCGTGATTTAGATAGTGAATTACTGATTCCTCTGTTCCGGCTAGTAGTTGGGTCAATCATCACTATGCCAGAGGCGCTCTCACTGCGTAATCTTGCCACCCTTCTCCGAAAATCGTGCGGAACCATCAGAACAATGCTCAAAGACCTGAAGTCAGTCCTGGTTGTGCCCGAAGAAGACGACGAGCAGGTTTCAATCTTCCATCTTTCCTTTCGTGATTTTCTTGTTGATCCGAATCGATGCGATGATGAGAGGCTCATCATTGACGAGAAGAAAGCAAACAAGAAACTTTTCAATCGATGCATGGACCTTCTTCTCGAGAAGGATTATCTGCGCAGGAACATTTGCGATATTCGACAACCAGGAACTGCAGCAGTTGAAATATCACAGGAAACCGTCAACAATTATCTTCCCCAGGAAGTCCAGTATGCCTGTTGGCATTGGGGTACCCACATCACCTGTGCGGCGTCTATCCAGACAAGGGAAGCGACACAACTCTTGAAATTCTTGAAAGAGCATTTCACCCACTGGCTCGAAGCTCTAAGTCTGACGAGGAGGATGTCGCATGCCAGTCCCACGATGACTGAACTGAAGTCTCGTTTTGCCGTGAGTACTGTCCCAACATCTTCTTGTAGGTATATTGACATGAGGAGCAGCCTGGGGACTATCCAGAACTTTTCGAGTTTGTTGATGATGGGAGACAGTTCATCAACCATCATGGCATTGACATTTCCGAGGCTCCACTTCAGGTCTATTACTCTGCCCTTGTTTTCTCCCCGTCATCAAGTGTGCTACGAAGGCAATATCAGAAAGAGTCTCCCCGGTGGATAAACCTTGCCTCTACTACACACAGCTCTTGGGGCCAAGCTGAGCGTATACTACGGTGCGGGGAACCACGATGTACGACCTTCTCTCCTGATTCAACCAAGGTCGCAGCTGGTACTTTATTTGGTCAAGTAATGGTCTGGAATCTGATCACTGGGGAACTGGAGCAACTACTACAGAAGAATGACGCAAGGCCTGGGCAGCAAGAAGTTTTGGGAGTATCGTTCTATCCCAATTGCAGGAAGCTAAAGGCAGTCTATAGAGATCTCACTGTCAATACTTTCAATATCATTACAGGGCAACTGGAGCAACGAGAAAATACACCGGTCGGTGTCACAGACATTGCAGCTATTAGACCATTGCCTGACTCAATGAAAGTTGCGTTCCTTACAAAACATTCCCAAGCAGTGTGCCTCTGGGACTCTGAGATTGGTGAGACTAGAATCATAGATGGCCAGTTTGAAAAGTGGATCTTGTCACCCAACGGAGAGCTCATTGCATCATGCTCAGATGGTCGGATCAAGTTGAGTAAGATCATTCTCCGTGACACTGGTGTTTGCGATACCGAGGATATATTCGCATGGGAGGTGAAAAGTGATCTCTGGTTCCATGTTGCCTTCTCTTCGGATCTGAAAAGAATCGCTCTTAGGATTCATCATGACGAGGTACAGGTGTGGGATATGGATGGGGAACCTGAGGTGGTAGTAGAACACAAGTCTTGCTATGTCGAAGACATGACCTTTTCTCCCGATTGCACCCAGCTGGCAGTGAGCACAAATGCAGGAACATTAGAGATATGGGACCTGAGTACTCGACAGATTATTTATTGCCTAGGAGGTCACTCTGAAGAAGTCGGGAGTATTACCTTCTCCCCTGATGGTCGAAAGCTAGCCTCCTTCACAAACAATGCTCAAGCAGTGCGAATATGGGATCTTCATGGCTTGAGAAAAGTGGACCAACCACCAGGGTCACCAATTGACACGTATGGAAGTATATTCACTTCTATTGTTTCTCCCAGTGGACAAACAGCTATATTCACTAGATACGGAAAAGATTCTGAAGTATGGGACCTTGCTAGTGGTAAAGTCCAACACACACTGACAGAAAATATTGGCCGGTCTGGGGCCTTTTCGCCAGACAACGATTACTTGGCTTTTATCAATCGCGATGGTTTCTTCAAGTTGCTCAGTACTACAACATGGAAACCCAATCTTGTGCTTGAGAGCCCATTTAGCATGGCTTTAGCCTTTTCGCTAGATAGCAGGAGAGTGGTCCTCCTTGGCAATGATGGTATTCTGCGGGTATGCGATAGTGCTACGGGTAGGGAAGAACAAGCTAGCCCAAAGCGACTTCCAGGAAGTGAGCTATTAGCTTTCTCGCCGAACGGTGACATGGTGGCATCATCGTCAGCCAATGTTATGACAATCTGGAGCTTTGGCAAGGAGCCAATACAATATGATATCGACATTGGGCGCGTTCGCATTACCGCCCTTGCCTTTTCTCATAGCGGGAAGCAGATTGCGATAGGTTGTAGGAAGGGTTATGTGAAGATCTGTGATCTGAGAACTGGAGAAGTTTTTACGAAGCACACTGGCCATTCGACATCCGTTCAGTCTCTGACATTTGCGCCAGACGACACTCGACTGGCAGCAAGAGATGTTGACTCCATTTTAATATGGGATATGGCAAAGGAGAGACCCATCAAAGAATCACCGTGCTACAATGATAGCTCAATCTCAACACGACAGCCGCTCTTGCTAAACTGGAAAGACCTGGCAGTGTACACGTTTGAAGAGGATCTGAAATGGGTGACTTACAACGAGAAGAAAATTGTGGCCATCCCAGCTCACTTTCGTCCACATTCTATTGAGCTCCTGTCCGCCAGCTCTCTAGTTCTGATAGGCAAAAGCTCGGTTATTGGCATCTTGCATTTTCCCCCAGAGCCAGACTATGCTGACATATAGATATACATTTGCGAATAATGATTTCTTCCTTACGTACAAAGCCACCGTTCCCCATAGTAGAAGTTGATAAAAGCCCGTGGGAAAGCATGATTGTTTCAACCATGAAGAAATAGGGGATGCTAGATTTTCAATTACCACCCTGACTTGTAATTCTGAAGGTCAAACAGTTGCACTTCAATACCTGCTTGCGGAGAATCATGTAGCATCGTATCAGTGTCTGTTCTCCGAGCTCCTCCCAAGGGCTGCAGTCCATACACGGCTTATATCATCTATTTGTTTCGAGTATAATGGTGCTTACAGGGCTCTTACTTCTATTTTTGAGGCCCAAGCGAGGGTTTTGGAATTCAGGGTTACTGGTTGACCCAACTCTATAGTAAATCACTGCATACGTGGAACAATTATACCCCGCCTTGAGCTTAGAGGCCATATACTCAACCCTAGGACGAGAATGTTTCTAATACAGAGCATTGGCCTTTCCCGGATACATCACTCGTTTACCTGTGACGTTTTACCAACTCTTTCTTACGTGGCTAGCACAACACATTCTCACGGTTCTATGAGTATCTAGAAGAATCATCCATATCTCTACCACTTCGCCCGCATCAGCCGCCCAATTTCCTGTTCAGTTCTTTGTACTCTTCCCCTACCACACAACACCATTCACTTGAACAGTCTTACTCCCGCTTCATCTCTCCCCCAGCCGGCCCAAGCAACCTCGCAACAGTCGGTAACGGCCACGCGAGCTGTGCAACCGAGTCCCGTTGCAATTCCCCGGAAGTAATCAAATCGATAATCGCCACGGCAATATACCCACCAATCGCAGTAAAGACATGCCACCTTGTATGACAGGTTAGCTGGAAACCCAGGCTTATCCCAGACAATGGATCAATGATCTACATACCAGCCATGCAACTCAAGCAAAAACGCCACGGGCAGTCCGACCGCGTGTCTGGCACCAATCAGAGACTGACACACCCACTCGTCAACCAGCCAGACGAGGTATCCGAAGATGAAGCTCGCTATAAAAATGTCAGTGTTAGCTATAGCCTCGGTTGATAAGCCATAGATAATGATGAATAACATACCGCACCCAAACAGTGCCACGTTCTGAATCCTCTTGCGGTCCTCGACGTCCGGGATCTCCCGAGGAATGATCTTGAGCGTGCGAGTCGCGATCAAATACACAGCGGTCCCGAATGTCACCGCGTGAAGCAGGAACTCGTCCATGACCATGTGGACGACCATAACGATCGTGAACAGTACGGAGAGAACGATTCCTACAGTCTTCGTATACTGAGGGGTGGCCTGGAAAGACAGAATGCGGTAGAGAAGCGGAGTGGTGAGGAGGTGCATGGAAAGCTCATCCGCTGTTCAAGACGGTCAGCTCAGATCACGGCGGTGATTTACAAGTAGGCTGAATAAAGGGAAGGCAACAGTACACATCTGAGTGTGATATTTCAAGGTCATATGATAGCCAGCAGAACAGACACCGACGCCAATCAATCCGCAGTAGAGGATTGAGCGTGACCCGGTTTGGTGTCTGCTGTGGAGCTGCCGGAGACCGTAGATCCCATATAGAACTAAGCGTACGTGTCAGTAATTGCACTACCATCAAACAAAAGTAAACATACTGTAAACAAAACTGCTGAGAGTATTGATAAACTCCGCAACATATCGCGTAACTACATAATCCTAAAGGACAAATCAGCGATTACGATCGAAAACCAAGAAAAGACCAGATTGCGGTTGCTTTAGACGGACCTCTTCACAAAAGCTATTGGCATTGGTTAGTCTACACTTTGCACGTCAATTGACAGGAGAATCAAAGTCATACTTCAAATAAGAGGTTGGTGCACCCCAAAAAGGCGAGATCGCGGAATCCATTGTCGCGAGCGTTCCTGACGACTGGAATATGGGGGGTTGGGAATGAGAGAGAATGGGGAGATTCGCAGACGGGCTGGAATAATAATAAATCGGCTCCTTCGGGGGCTCCACCGCGACGATGACCCACTCCTGTCTCCCGTGCTTAGCAGGCCTGGTTCCTGCACGGTTTTCCGGGGTTGAAGACAATGACAAACTCGGAGATGGGCTGATGTAGCCAACATATACTCCCTATCTTCGCATTATATGCACTGGTATGGTTAGCTACGAGCAATCAGCCCTCACAGGCACCTGGAGTACACGATGGACCGCATGATGGCTTACCCGACCGTTCCGGACGGGGCTGACTCGGCTTCTATCCCCAGTCTTGGCATTGCGATGAACAAGGCATGAATCTCCTGGAATATTTCAAGGTTCCTCATATGGTGTATTGCAGTATAGGCTAAGCCATTTTGGTCTCAGAAATGACATCTGCTTTCTTGAGAGTTCAATGCTATGCAGGTGCACCCCCTAGCATGTTCGACTTGTCATGTGGATATATCAATTTCTGCCTGAGGCCTTAGCGGTCTCCAAAATAAACGCGTCAACACCTCATTCTTGGAAATGGTTTTAACAAGTTTCGAGATAGCCCGACGTCGACCTCCTATACAATGGCTCCTATGCGTGTAATAGTGCGTCTGGCAAGGATAGACACTAATTTCTCATCATTTCGCACAATATAAGTAGACACAAAACTCAGATCAAGTATAAGATTGACGTTATACGACGCACCCATGCAAGCACATGTCGTCAGATGTGTAACACTGATCACTCTCGAGACTTCTTCTTATGCAGAATTAAACCCACTCATACCATGGCAATCCATCCCGAAGAACCTCATACTCAGCCCCTTGAACAAACTGTGGGCCCTCCGCATCCAGAAAATACCCGCGCGCACACTCGTTGAACTGGACCCGCGTCGTCTGTTCCACCTCGTAGTAATAATCGTAGCGCACATCCAGTGCGTCTTTCAACGTCGTGACCTCCCCGCGCGGATGCAAGGCATCCCATGGCTTGACACATACCTGGCCCTTGCAGGTCTTGAGCACCAGTAGAAGGGAGTCAAGTCGCTGAACGACTTTAGAAAGATCAACGTTCAGGATGATGTAAGAGGTCGCATTTGGAAGCCCACTTGTAGAAAGGAGGTTGTGGAGTTGATGAGGGTCACTCTGTCTCTTTGGTTGGATTCCGAAAGGCAATAAATTAGGCGGGATCACTTACAGTCATATCATAGAGTTCATGCTCGTTGTTACACCAAACAGAGTAGTAGAGGTTATATTCACTACCTCTGATGCGGAGAGCTTTGTATGTATTGTTGTATGCAGATAGGTCAACTTTTAGTGACCCGGTTAGCACATGCATAGTCAAGGGTGAAGTGTTGGAGTAGGGTACGCACAGTCGTATATACCCTCTCCCGCTGCATATCCCCAATACTCAACTGTGACATGCTCCTGTCTCTCGTCATGGGCCTCCTTGATCTGGTTCTCTGTAAAAGGGATGGGGTCGCCATCGAAGTCCTCTCGGAGAGGGATGCCTAATAAATCGAGGAAGGTGGGAGCAAGGTCCGTATGTGTTGTAACAATATCCGTAGATACATCTTGGGCAACATTGGGACCACGGACAATCAAGGGAACATTGATGTCTTCCTCATATCCACACGACTTGCCCGGCTGGAGTCGGTGTTGACCAATATGGTAGCCATTATCGCTACTATAGACTACATATGTGTTGTCGAGAATATCATATTCCTTCAAGCGTGTAAATAAGCCATCAACTAGTTCATCAACGGCCTGGAGGGCGCGTAGACGCTGGCGGTAAAAATGATCGTTGTATTCAACATTAGTATCGTTTTGTCGCTTGAGGGTCTTTATCCAGTTGGCGCCAGAGGGAGTTTCTGGGTTGAAGGAGGGGGTACGGGGGACTTTGATATCGGAGAATAGGTGCTCGTGTCGCTTCGCGGGAATAGGTGCGCTGAAGCTGAATTTAGGGTTGGCGTCTAAGCCGGTACCATTCATGAAAACATTGCAGTGCGGTGCAATGGGAGCGACTGTGAGAAAGAAGGGCTTTTGAGCCGCGACTGCTTCGTCGAGTAGGCGATATGCTTTTTGTGCGAGGACGTCGGTGCTGTATTCACCTTCGTAGCTCTGGGGTGGGTCTCGGTCTCGTTGGAAGGTACTGTTAAGGTAGTCGTATGTAAATGGATCGAGAAGGAAGTCCTGCGCGATGAATTAGAGAGTAACTTAAGTAAAACATTGATACTGGCTTACGTTTCCGGTAAACCCCGCTGGGAAGGGGGCGTTATAATTGTCGACCGTGTGGACGTTGAACAGTTTACCAGTGTAGTAGGTATTGTACCCGGCTTCCTGTAGCCAGACAGGCAAATAGTTGTCATTGAGACCTTGAGAAATAAACTTTGGATAACCACCTGGGAGTGTATAAGCAAATCTCCATGTACACATGGTGATTGGTAGTACACCCACCATGCGGAGGATTGACATCCGTGACGTTTGTATTGTGGGCCAGTTTCCCCGTCCAAAGGGTCACCCGCGAAGGGCAACAGACGCTGGTTGTACAGTAATGGCTGCGATAGTGTGTTCCTTTGTCTAGGAGATGCTTTTTAACATAAGGCATGTAATCCAAGGAGCCGAGTTGCGCGTCTTGATCATCGGTTAATATGAAGACGACATTGGGCTTGGCGGTCGCATATAGCGGCTGCTGCTGCTGCTGCCCTAGTGACTGTGTAGTAAACCCAGCCAGGGCTAACAAGCACACCGGGTTCCGCATATTGCTGGTATAGTATAAATGTGTGGCTTTGATGTCAAAACAAATGAACGGTAGGTGCAGTGAGGTTCAAGTCGATTGCTTAATAACCCCCGCGCATAACGCAATCCGGGTCAAAGCGGACCATACACAATCCACCTTGCACAATGCTCCGGCAATCTGCATACGATGTAGAGGTGCTTAATGTTTGAAAAGTCATCCTTCGAAAAACACTATTACTTCCCTATTTATGTGCGGAAGTATGATCACGGTCCTTCATACTGGCATGAAAATGATGAATTTAGTAGATCAGACAGTATGCCCATACTGTTGACAGATGTAGTTCGAGAAAGATATATTGAAGATGATCCAAGTTGATTAGCAGCACTGTACTGTAGGGTCATTGCCCGCGACCACTAGAAATTTGTCTAAATGTGTCAAGAAGAAAAAAGCGCCAAGAAAACAATTATCTATGTGGCATGGCGAAGAGAGAAACTGATTTAGAGATACGAGAACAGCACGTGTTCTACCAGAGAACGAGGATCAGCGACCATTTTCTGCCGCATCCCTAAGGGCGGTCAACATTTTAACAGAAATCAACATCACCATTCCGGGGCTGTATGTCCTTAAATCCGCTTAAATCCGAGGTTTTTTCGACGAGGTCGACTAGGTTCTGCCGCTTGGAGCGGTGGGTAAGGCGGTCGAAACTGGCTTTTCTGCCACAATTCTACTTGTGGACGGTGGGAAACGATGGGGCCTCTTGTACTCCATTGAGATGGCCGCTTTCAACAACCGGGTCCCATAGCTCAGTTGGTTAGAGCGTGACGCTAATAACGTCAAAGTCGAGGGTTCGAGCCCCTCTGGGACCATCTCTTTTTGCTTTTGTCTTCTTGTTGCATCTTTTGCTTCACCAAGTTTTTGCTGCTGGCAACTTTGAAGACAGGCTTGTTGGTTGGTGGTTATTGTTGTTGGAACAAGACGACCCCCCGTTCGTCAGTGTCCTTTTTTCTGTTTACTGCCTTACCGATCCCGACTTCTGACACACAGTAACTGACTGGAATGTCCATTGTATTACTAGCCATCAATTGCTCCTATTATTGAGCGTACCGTCAGGCTGGTATTATATTATGGCGTGCTCAAACTGCCTACACTACGTATAGCTCCGATAACACTGAGAAACGATGCATGGGCTGTAGACGAGGAGTATCGCGAATGCCGGAAAGAATGATTAGATTCCAATGACTTATGCAATTAGCCCAGAGATAACCTCACAGGGAGCCCAAAAAGTTTCGAAAATGGCTGTTTATGCTTCATGTCACTATCAGAGTGGAGTTATCGGAGTAATTGACTTGGTGTCAGACCTGGTGCGTTCTGGATTATCATATTAGAAGTTATCGGAGTAATTGACTTGGTGTCAGACCTGGTGCATTCTGGATTATAGTCATATCAAAAAATCCTCCGGACGTTCCGGGCGACGGGATCGGTCATTTGACAATCAGCAATACACATTCGCTCTGATGTTCCACCCTGTTTTGCTTCTAAAGCTAGCAAGTCCAAGGTGTTTCCGATTATGAACATTCTATGATCTTAGGTTAATTCGATCGGCTTGAGCTCAGCGTGGATGGAACTGATGTCAACAACGGCAAACCCCTTTTCTATTGGTCCCTACACTATATCTCCAGCATCTCCTTCAGCATTTCCGGAATCTCGAATCCTTCACGACTGCACTAATCAGAGTCCACGAAGCTTACTTCATGATATCCTTTCTATTCCTATCCCCGCGTAAAGGACGGTGAGATCAAGCTGGGCATGACTGGAGGTAGAACATAAAAATGTCCTGTTATAACCTTTGAACCGTTCATGTTTATCTCAAGTAACCCATCCACCTCAGACATAGGAAATACGAAAAAGCAGTAATCTTCCACAAACTTTCAAGCAGGCCGTTTTCAAGTCCCTTGGCGCAATGCTAGTCATCGAAGAAGTAGAGGCTCGAAGCTGTAGAACGAATCCTCATCATAAGTCAGCCCCATGGCGCCAGCCAGCGTACTTGGAAATAAGGCTGACGGCGAGTCCGGCAGCACTAGATTATCAACACCGACCGGGTCTGAAACAGGCATCGTGTTGAGGCGGGCGATGAGAAAGTCTGCTTTCGCGGTCAATCCTCGCGCAACATTGGCAGCGCTGGGGGTTACTCTGCTTTTCGTACCGCGTCCCGGTCTCACACAAGCTCCGCGAAAAAGAGCCCGAGTCCCGCCGATATGCCTGTCATACATTCATGGCATATAAGACCCTTAGGACTTTATATACATCATATGGATTTAGTCGAGTCAATGGATTTGCACCGAAGAGCAGAATGGCCACCCCCAGCCTCATCTCCATCAACAAGCTCGCCAACACCCGAGTCTTGATAATCGGTGGCACCTCCGGCATCGGCTTCGCCGTTGCCCGTGCAGCCCTGGAACACGGCGCCAGCATCATCATATCCAGCTCAAACCCCCAGAAAGTGTCATTTACTACTTCTCGTCTCCAAGCCCTCTACCCCAACAAGGTCTACACCGACCGCATCACTGGCAAATCCTGCGACCTAGGCGATCAAGCCACTCTAGAAAAGAACCTTCTTGACCTTCTCGACTACGCTACATCATGTTCTCTCTCTCCTGATGCTGCGTCTCCCACCAGAAATAGTGATAGCACTGAACGAGTTTTGCTGAACCATATAATCTACACGGCCGGCACCCCGCCCCCGCGGATCCCCATCTCCTCTCCCGAGATCAGCGCATCCAGTTTCGCAGCCTTGAGCACCCTCCGGCTACTTGTCCCGATGTTACTGGGCAAACTTGCGAGGAAATACTTGGTTGATCATCATACCTCCTCAATAACGTTTACCTCGGGCTTAATGGCCGCAAGACCAGCGGCGGGGCTGGCAGTTGGTGGTGCGGCAGTGGGATCAGCGCTTGAGGGCTTGACTAGGGGATTGGCGGTGGAGTTGGCACCCATCAGGGTGAATGTAGTTGCCCCAGGTGCTGTTGAGACGGAGGTCTTCGAGAGACTGGGCCCTGCGAGGGAAGCATATCTAGAAGCGTTTAGAAAGGGAACGTTGACGGGGGAAGTGGGGAGGCCGGAGGATGTTGCAGAGGCGTATGTTTGGTGTATGAAAGATGGTTTTGTAACAGGGAAAAGAGTAGAGAGTGACGGGGGCGCATTGTTAAAGGGGGCATAGTATATTCATGATCTGGAGAAGGAAGGATGGCTATGTCCATTAATGATTCCAGTATGGACATACATGACTTCTGGCCACATCCCCAGAAGTTTATAGCAATAGGTAGTAAGATATTTGCTTGAGTAATGCAACGCATAACCTTGGTAGGTAAATATAATGTGGCTAAGGTACCGGTGCCAGTGGCTTGGGAGCACAGACCTTCGGTCCCTAAATGTAGGGAAAAGAAACGAAAAACCAAGAAGGTGGATGAGTAAGAAGGAATCGTTATGAGAAAAGTAAATATATCCCGAATTCTCTCTGCATGTCACATCTCCTCAATTCCATCGCGATTAAACCTTTGATTCGTTTCACGCTCGTCCTTCATGAGCAACATAGCCACACAATTTCTTCCTCGTCAATTCCACGCAGCATGCACATAATTTCATTCTGACTATGGAGTTCTTGATGACTCTGAGAACCAAATCACTTTGGTTTAAACATATAAGTTTGAGACACTCTCTACGATATTCGTACTCCGTATTGTTGCCCGCCAACTTCAGCGAACACATGCATTCGTATCCAGGTCCCTTAAGCTCCGTTGCTATGAACTCTACAGCAGTTTTTTTGAGCCGGAGGTTCTTCTGAAATTGGTAAAGGAGGCTTGATTTATCCAAGCATTTTTGATCCAAAATTGCTCTGTTCAATGCTTCCTCAGAAACTGGTACGTTTTCATCTTGTTGGTAGAGCTGCCTGAATATTTTCGCCCTATCGCCATGATTCATTGCTGCCGTGAGTACAGCCCCAGAAATTAGGAGATTGTTCTGGTAGTACTGTTGTAGAAGATCTAATATCTCAAGTGCATGTGGAGTTGAGATTGCGTTGTGGAGTGTACTTGCAGAGAGCGGTGGACAGTTCTGATGCTCCCTAAAAACCCGCAGAACCTCGATTCCGTGGTCGTGCTGTATTGCTGCATTGAGTACCTCTTCAGAGATTGGTAGGCTGTCTCGATGTTGGTAAAACAGAGCAAGGATTTCAAGTCCATGGATACGCTCGACCGCATTGTGGGCTATCTCTTCAGAGATTGGTAAACTTTCCATGATACTCGTAGAGAAGCTGTATGATCTCAAGAGCTTGTGGGCTTCGTGTTGCCATTTTGACTACACCTTCAGTGATGCCTTTTCTAGCTGTGCGGCGAAAAAGAAGATACAAAACCCTATAAACGTCTGTCGCGTTGTTGATCGATTCTTCTGTTATCGGCAGCTTCACTTGTCGGTCGTCAAGCATAATTCTGAGAAGTCGATATCCCATGTCATAATGCGCTGCTGCCGCCTCGAGCGCTGTTTCGCTGACCGGTATCTGTACCAGAGTCTGACACAATAGTCGCTTCATCGGTTCAAACTGCCCTTCAAGATTCTCGAGCTTCAGTATGTTTACAAAGATATCTTCCACAATGACTTGCTGGCATCTAAATTGCCTTTCCTCTACGAGTAGAGTCTTTCAAAGGCTCTTTGCGCTTCGATTATACGACACTCTCGGAGTCGTCATTCCACTGTTGCTCTCTCTGTGAGCTTGATCGATGTCCCAGGTGAGATTCAAATCGATAGGTGATATGGTTTCGATTTGATTCTGTATGTCTGATAATCTTCTCTCGGATTGCTTGCGAAATGATCCAAATCTATTCATTCTCTTAACAATCTCTGGAGTTGTCATACTGACGATGGCACTAAATTGGCGGCCTTGCTCAGTCTGACGATTGTTGGCTTTGAAGCTCGCTGCAAGAAGCAGACTTTATCATATACTTGGACTGGTCGCATCCCAGGCTGCGGCATACTTGAAACGGCGTGTGTCAATTGGCGGCTGCGCAAACGGAACACCGGCAAATCTAAATGTCAAATAATCACGGAGACCCTCGAAGGTGATGTTTCCTGCCGTCGCATTGACCCGAGGAAAGGGGGAGTAATCGGTGTCGACACGGTCAACCAGTGGAGCCGAGTTGGTGCAGACAAAAGGCCACTCTCCATCCGAAGATGCATCACCAGCGGTAGATGTACCAGATAGTGTGACTGGTGTACTGCAAGAAGTCCAGAGCAGCGCCTCGTCAGGTAGAGTACCCAGATACTGCTGGTACTGAAAGGACTGCGGAAATGGTACACGTCATCGCATCGCAGAAATTGCTCCTCATATTTATCACAGATAGATTGTGCCTGACCACGCCGGGCAGGTGTATGCACTAGAAGAGCACTCGGTCGCTCTGTATGAGCAGTCCAGTTTCCGTCATTCTCGAACAGAAGGCTTGTTGGAGCGGATGAAGCTTTAGCCACCGCCGGAAGAGCCACCAGTAGCAGTGACGCCATGGCAGCCATCCTGAGCGGGGAATACCTCCTTCTGCAGTGATTGTTGTGGATTAAGATGCCTGGCAGCTGTTGCTTTCCCGTCCCAACTGTTGCCTTATATCTTGTCCACGTCCGCACAGTTGATCTGTGAATCCTAATGAGGGAAAGACTCCGCAAGTTGGCGGCCGCTGAGGCCCTCATTTCACGGGGGCAAACATCCAAAAGGATCATGCATTCGCTTCCGTCCTGCAGAATTTCCCCCGCGTATCCCCGCAATTCGGGAATGGGCCGATATACTAGTCGCGATGCCAACAATGAGGGAAAAAGTGTCGTCATAGCGAGGAGAACCGGATATATAAATTGTTCGACAAATGGTGATAATCCCCAATGATCAGATCACCTGAAAGCTTGGTTATTGCATGAGTAATGGCCATGACACTCTGGTTCCTGTATCTTGTCACTTCGCTTCTCACATTCTTCTCAGTCGCCTTGGGTAGTAATGACTGTTCCATCAAAACTTTTCAAGCCTTCTTGAACGCCAATGGTACCGCCGCGCGTGTAGTTTACGCCCGTCACTATGCAGAGAATTCGACTTTTGTGAATCCCAACATCAGCTCCGTCACCAATCCCACTCAATTGCCAGCAGCGTGTGCAATTCAGGTCAATGCAACGACGGATGTTGACACCTACTTCAGCTTTGGCGTCTACCTGCCTGATACGTGGAATGAAAGATTCTTGTAAGTGACTCTGACCTTTCCCGGGGACACCCAGCATTGACTGAAAGTAAATAGCCATGCTGCGCAGGAAGGTGAAGACATCAATTGGGTTGATATGGTGTGTAGTATGAGATCTTACCTTAGTTCTCACTGAGAAATAGACTAATTTCCATCACCAGGCCGTTGGACTTCGTTATGGCTTCGCCTCTGTAGCCACTGACACGGGCCACACAGGCTCCGACATGGACGGAGTCTGGTGGAAGAACCCAGAGTCAATCAACGACTGGGCCTGGCGTGCCAACCATCTCACTAGTGTACTGGGCAAGTTCCTCGTCGAGAGCTTCTATGGTCAAAAGCCCAGATACAGCTACTTCGCCGGCTGCTCCACCGGTGGGCGCCAAGCCATGAAAGAAACACAGAAGTTTCCACGGGATTATGACGGAGTGATTGCTGCCTGCCCGGCATGGTGGACAACCCACCAGCAGCTGTACAATCTTAAGCAGACGACCTATCAGGCACCTCAGGGATCAGCTCATACAATCCCAATGGAGATGTTTGCCGTCATCGGAGCAGAGGCAATTCGTCAGTGCGATCCTCAGGACGGACTGGTCGACAACATCATTTCCGATCCACTAGGCTGTCATTTCGACTACCTGCCATTACTCTGTACTGAGGCAAAGAACACCAGCTGCTTGACGGGACCTCAGATAGAGACACTGCATAAAATCTACAACGACTGGGTGGAAACCAATCAAACTTTTGTGTACACACATCCGCTATACGGAAGCGAAGCAATGTGGAATGAGAGCGGCGTCATCGGCAACGGCAGCGCCGACAACGAAGACTCGCAGCTGTGGTATCCTCAACATATCCTCGGCCTTGCCAACTTCACTGTACAAGACTTCGATTATAGCGTGGTGCAGTACGCCGATAAGACCGACCCGGGCGATTCATCCGCTGACAACTATGAACTGGCCGAGTTCTACCACCACGGAGGGAAGCTCATCCACTACCATGGTCATTCCGACGCCATTGTACCCCCCGGTATCGGCCTCTATTACCGCGACCACATGGCTGCCACGTTAGCGCCAAAGGGTATTGACATCGATGACTTCTATCGCTTCTTCGCTATTCCTGGCATGGAGTGAGTTTACACGAAACCAATACCGGATCACAAGCTAATAACTCCAGACATTGCTACCACACACCATCCACCATGGGCGCACCGTGGTATATCGCCGGACCCACGCAGGCGAGCACGCTGAGCCCGTCCCTCTACAGTGTCCCCGGTTACCAAGATGCTAAGCACGATATCTTCCTGGCTTTGATCAACTGGGTTGAGAATGGTACTGCACCCGACTATATTATCGGATCTCGCTTCAATAGTAGCATTGAGTATACCTCGAACACTATCGACAAACAACGGCCGATATGCGCGTATCCTAAGCTGGCTCAGTACGTGGGATCAGGAGACATTGATGATGCCGCCAATTTCGAGTGCAAGCCCCTGTATTAAATGGTGTCCTCTATCGGTCATTGAAGACTACATTTAGGCGTATGGAAGATGTTTACTTTGTACGCGAGGCGCAGACGCCAGTAGGAAGATGGTGCATTAAATCACCCAGGTTGTAGTAATGCAAGGGTTCTGTCAGCGCCATTAACATTTGAATGCCTGAGGTATAAATGAGCGGTTTGCTTTTATCTCCTTTCCTTTTACGTTGTTCTTCTCACTTCCACTTGCATTTTGTTTCCAGAATTACTTAATATTAAATCGTCTTAGCGTAAGGATCATGTTCAATGTTTCTAATATCAGCGACGAGATACTCAAAGACAATGCCAAACGCATCATCATCATAATAAAATCAGAAGAATCGGAGGACTGCCGGACCACCGCTTACAGAATTGTCGGTGAAGTTTTTCCCGACTGGAAACAGGAAAACCGTATCATGTTTCTCACTATCCAAGTATGGGGTAATCGGATTTTTGTGAACGTTGATGTCAATCGCGACAACTACAACTACGACACGGCACACAAGGATCAGACCTTTCTTCCTGTATATGTGCTTCGAAATCACAGGGGAAATTGGCTCCTTGTCCGATGGCCCCAAGAGGATAGGTCCGTGGCTATACAGTTAGCGGAACTGCATCGAATAACCGGATATGGTGCGGAGATCCCATTCTACGAAATCAACAACTCGCGTGTTGTGCACGCCAATCCGCGCGAGTATCTCAAGAGATGTTTCACTTCCTGTTTCTCTTATTTTCCCAACTGTGGTGTCGCTAGACGACAGTTTTTGCAATAAAAGAGGTCACAAACAAGGATGAGGATGTAATACCATTTCGTGCTATTGATGGCTATATGGGACAGAGGCATGGGATACGAACGTCAAAGAGCACTTGTCCCAGACGTCCATTCTCCAAGACAAAGACGCTTTTCTCAAAAGTTTTGTGTGCGAGAGATACGTCTGTCAACTCCAGCCAACGAAAGAATTGATATTCAGAGAAGCATCTGAGGCCGTGACAGCGGGTTGTCTATGGAGAATACTGAAATGCTTGCAGCGCAAGTCTAGACCAGCTCAACTACAGTCTGCCTATCAAAACCAGAGGCAGTTTTCCAGAAGAGGAACTTTCTTAAGAAATCAAAACAAATCAACAACCTCTCGAATAACTGACCATTTGAAATAGTCCGTTGCCACGGATGGCTATAATGGAGAAGACGTCGGGTCGCTATCGAACATCCACAATCTCAGAGCCCTAAAAATTCAGTCCCGGAACCAATGTGATGGAAAGGCTTGAGCATAGATACTTCCGGTAAAGAAAAGCAAGTTTGAGAATTCCATATTTTATCAGCACACAACTAGAATAACGAGGATGCGCTCCAGACTTCGAATAGGGGGTGGACCTAGAAGATGGATATACGAGCCTCTGTAAAAAGTTTGAATAAGCACCTGGTTATGTATTGAAGTTATCCAATCGTAAAGCTCCAGTCGTCGGCTCTTTTGACCTTCCTTTATTAGACCAGGGGGTGGATCCACTGCTCTGGTGATGCTGGTCAGCCTCAGCCCTCGTTATCGCCTATAATTTCCCGGGCGAACCCGCGGCTAGCAAGCGCTAGTAGATAGTAATTGGAAAGCCTACCAATGATAACCAGTACTTCTCAGTTAGAAAGCCCCAGTGGCGCAGAGCGCCAGCAGGAATATCTACGTTGCTGATGTCAAAACCCTGGGTATTCCTGCTTCAAACCGTCCATCAGCTCACGTCTCTGTTCCAGTTTCTCAAATGTGTCAGCAGTAGGAGCTGCGCCGATCTTTACTTGCCATTTATTGGAACACTTTGCTACGGTCACTCGTTTATCTAAGGCTCCACGATGGAACGATTTCGCACAACATATTGGCTATCATGCATGGGAGTACTAGCAATCCAAGGATTCGCAGCCACAATCCCGGTGGTAACAGTCGCACCCACTTCGGTTGTTACTGTAACGTCTACTTACTCCGATACGGTGACCAGCACTATTACAGGGGTTCTCCCAGTGACGACCGTTGAGACCACATGTACTCCTGGTAGTGTTGCTCCAGAGTCATGTACCAACTCGATATGGTCGGCGGAAGGTTCCTATTGGCAAGAATGGTGCTCGGAGTCATCTTTGGAAGGAGCACCGTATATGACCATTCATGGAGCAACAAGCCCTTACGAATGCTTCGTGTTTTGTGGCATTTATTCGAGCTGCCAAGGTCTCAATTGGGATGGTAATGATCAATGTGAGCTGCTCACAGACATCACGTCCACAGTGGAAGTCACTTCGTCTCATTGGGCCGCAATTGAACGTTTTTCAACCAACCCTTGCATTGTCACCGTAACAGGCGCTTCTACCCAGTTGTCAACCGAGACAACGGTGATGGAATATACAACAACTTACACATCGACAATTACATTGTCGACGAGTGCTTCTGCCGCTTCCACTAGGACTACATCCAGTGTTGGCACATCAGCATACATCTCGAGTGTGTCAGCATCAACGGCCTCAACATGCACTGTTTCAGCTCTTCCTACCACCACAAATTGCGTCGACGGGTACTACGCATACGATGGAGACTACTACCAAGTTCTCTGCAGTGACACCGTGCAGAGCTTTTCAGGAGTCCTTTCGAACTCCAGACAAAACGACATCTGGGGCTGCATCGAGGTCTGCTCTAGCTATTCGAATTGTATAGGAACGTTCTGGTTTCTGGGGATATGTTACTCGGAAAGTGGTGCTATCGACTATTCCTACGTGCCGTACGACTACAGCGACCCAGATAACAATGTTGTCGACTACATTGCTCTTCGGCTAGATGTCGATCCTTGTGCAGTTGCGACTTCTACTGCAGTTACAACCTCTTCGACAATCCTATCCTCGTCGACACTTGCGTCCTCATCGGCCATATTGACTTCATCAAGACCTATAGAAACATCTACTCCAGTCATGCCATCTACATCAACTGCTTCACCTTCCACTCTTTCAAGCGTCTCTCCGTCTCCTGTGACATTGAACTCTCTTACTTCACCAATCCCCTTAATAAAAACGTCCCCGGTCTCAAGCTTCCGGAGCTCTCCTTCTCTCGGCTCCTCTGCTATATACTCAACAGTCCCAGTTTCCCTTCCCTCGAAGAGCTCCTCCGCATTTTTACCAGTGCAATCGTCCTCTTCTCCTGTCTTTCATTCATTCTCTGCGTCATTGCTGCTTCTTTCCCATTCTTCTATTTCTCAAAGCTCTACCAGTAACATTCCCACAGTTTCCAGTCAGAGTATCCCTACGCCAGCCCGGCGCACTACGACCATTTTTACCACTGAAACCCTCACCTCAATGACTACAACCTGTCCTTTGAACGCTACCAAAACGACTTCCACTCTACAACGAGCGGATGTTACCTCCCCTGCCGCACCAAAGATGACGACTTCAACTGTCTTCACCACAAAGGTGTACACTATTACCGCCTGCCCTCCATGGGTCTCAAACTGTCCTGCCTCTGACAAGACAACCAGCTACACAACAGAGATTATTCCCCTGTATACTACTATATGCCCTGTTTCCCCAGAAACAAGTGACGCATATGCCATCCCAACACAGACACCCAGCAACGGGAGAGCAGCTACTGAACAGCCTCAAGCCCTCACTACATCTACTATTTTTACTACCAAGAGGCATACCACGGTTGGTTGTCCACGAGGAAGCCCGCATTGCGCAGCATCTGAGAAGACTACCTACTACACGACAGAAGCAATCGCTGCATACACAACTATTTGCCCAGTATCTGCAGAGGAGACAGGCACGCATGCCTCCGGCCAAGCGGAAGCTATCGGGGAAGGATCTATCGGACAGAGCAGTGAAAGACACAGTACATCGACGGTCTACACAACCCGTGTCTACCCTACCGCAGCCTGTTCATCATCTTCCACTACCTGTGCTGACACAGAGCGAACGACGTATCTCACGACGGAAACCGCAGTAGCATCAGTTACTGTCATCACATCAGCAGCCGTTGAAACTGCTGCAGACAATTCAGGTGCTCAAGTTACTCCTTCCGGAGGAAAATCCTCAGCGTCAACCATTACAGCCGTTCTCTACACAACAGAGGTATACGCGATCACAAAGGGAACGAAAACCCACCTCACCACGGCCGTCGTTCCGATAAGCACAACCATGACCCCCATTGCCAGCGAAATACCGCAATTTTCACCTACCAGCAAAGCAAACTCGGCATTAGTCGGACCACACAGTCCCCCGCAAGGGGTGACTGGTGCATCTACCATTGGATCCGGTGCCGACGCAGGTGGCCAGATTGGGGTCAGCGCCGAGTCTCAAGAGCCCACCGGAGACGAAACGTCTTCACAGACATTCAGCAACAGTGACTTCAATTATCCTGATAGGCCTGGTGGGCCTGGACCATCCCCTCATGTCTCATCCTGGAATGCTTCTAGTGTCGAATCAATTGCCCACGACAATCACAATGTTAGCTCTTGGAGCGACGGATCTCGTGCCTCAAGCGTCCCGTCTCCTAGCCTCGGGCTCAATCACCCTACTCTTGGGAATGCTGCTACAAGTCGCACTGATTCTGTGTATGCGTCTCGTACGTCGACGGTTGTCTCAGCGCAATACACCGGTTCTGCGTCCAGGAGTGCAGTATGGACTTGGTTGCCTTTTGTGGGTGTGGTTATAGGCTATTTTCTGTGATCAGTGTTACTAGATCAATTATGTTCTTCTGTTATTATCAAGAATGATTGAAATTCGAAGGTTCTGCTTCTATATCACATTTCAAGAGTAAGCGAGACCTAAATCTAAGATAATAAGTATGACTCAATCTCAAGCAATGTTGCATCGCAGCGTATATAAAATCCTATACAGGAACATTCTACTTGCAGAAATAACGATAGCCCAACGCAGAAATTAGAAATAAGCCAGCAGTCGCCGCACCTACACAAGCAGCATTCATGGGCATGTGCGTTGGTTCACACAGCTCTTCAACAGTGTAGTTATTCCTCTCGAAAGCAAGACGATCTAATCCGTATCTCTTGGACTCCAGATGAAAGGAGAAGAAGTTCTGTCGGAAAGAGAACCAGCACTTTGCAGCCAGCTGCGCATTGGGATCATCCTGAGTCTTGTTATTATCCTCCGGTGCATTGTTATCGGCAGGCATGTAACTTGTGAAAGCCCTATCCAAAGCGAAAACAATATTTTGCACATTTTCGAGTGTTTCGCAGAAGGTGTCTCGGAAAGTCCATAATTTCGAGCCAAACCTGGACGATCTGCCGGCTACTCTCCTAGCTCTTGTAGCTAGCAGAAGGTAATTCCGCGTCTCACCCTCGAGGACCTCCTTCGGGTAAGAAAGCAGGTCGTTTGTGTAATCAATGAAGTTCCTCACGACGGGAGCCACTCCTAACCAGTAAGGAGAAGGGACCTCCTCGGTGCAAGAATACTTGAATATTGGCGGTATATAGTGAAACGAAATGCCACTCATTGAACGAAGGTACCCCGGGAACGCTTCGGTCGCACACCACTCGGAGCTTGGATATGGCTTTCCGTGGGTTGTAAGATGGACGGGCAAGTCCCCCTGCTCCATGCGGTATTTCATGGTGCATGCCTCCGTGAATCCGCGGATAGCATTTGCTGAAAGGCTCCCGACCAGGGGGTCTTGGGACCCGAAGTATTCGGCACCTAATTGTAGCCCGTGAGTAAGGACCGCTGTCCAAGGGCTAGCATCCGGAGGACTGTAGCCGTCATTACAGGAAAAGGAGGATAAGCGGTTGCGCTCTTCAGGACTGAGGAGAGTGTCATCATCGCTTGCGAACAGGATGAGAGTAGTGATGGCCATAACTAGCTTTGTCTCATGCGAGCAATGAGCATAGAGATATTCCCCGACTTGCGCAGAAGTGTCAACTAAAACTCTCAGAGCTTGAAGCTTCTCTGGGAACAGATGTGTCAGATGCTCTTGGACCCAATTATCGAGGTCATGTCGTAGACGTTCGTCAGCTGGTATGATCTGTTGCTGATGTCCTATTCCCTCAAGCAATAGGAACAGACATTTGCGTACACATTGAAATACTTCATTTCGTTGTTGATTACTGAGTTTGATTTCATCGTGAAATTCTAGGCACTCGTATTCGGGCCTAGAAAGAGCTGAGAAAAAGTCAATCTTCATGTTGCAATCTGGAGGATAATCCCCGAGAGAGCAAAACTGAAGAGAGTAAAAGCGGGGACATGGTGTGATTTATGTTGACCACCTAACTAAGGTATGTCGGTCGAGATCGAAGATATCTTTAATCTTCTCTATGATCCAATGCGTGATAAGGAGAATAGTATCAGGGACTAACCCTGGAGGACGTACTCGAAAGACGTCATATGCTGAGTTCTCACTATTACATGATATTGCATCAGTGTGTGTAAATGGCAGGAGTACATGAAAATCTTTCAGATTGAACGAGGTACATATCTTGAATAAAGTATGATTTGGTGTCTGAAACTCAGACCGGGGTCTGATACGCGGGATATACATTCCTCATTTAGCCTAGAACCGCAAGGGGGGCTATTCAAAATTTAGCAAGGGACAACGGTTATGATAGCACAGAATCTAGTCATCAGAACAAACCCTTACCTTTTTTATGTTCCACTCAATGAGTTGGACGTTACCCTGTGGAGGCCATGGTTTCTCATTAATGCGTCTAGCTTTCGCCATCCACTATAATAGAAAGGGGTAAAAGATGGATTCCTCCAATTCTAGCCAGGCTTATATATTGCATGTCGATTGAAGGAAGATTGACAGACCACGTAGAAACCACGCTTCACTCAGCTCACAATGGCAACCGCAGAACTAGCGACAGCAGCAGCAGCTATAACCCTACAAACATAAAGATACTAAGCACCTACATTCTCGTGAACCTTGCAGCTGTAGCCTGGTCACTGAGAGCTAGCATTTCAGCAGACATCCCTCGACCACCAAGTATCGCATGGCTCAAGCTCATCTTCCTCTGCACAGCAACGTCATGGACAGTGATCCATCGGCTATATTTCTCCCCGCTCGCCTCCCTGCCCGGACCCAAGTGCAGCAGTATCTAGACTCGGGGCAGCCAATCAATGTCGCTTAGGGCGCTCTGCCGCCTATCTGGAGGAAATTTATAAGAAGTACAATGCGGAAATTGTTCGTGTCGGGCCGAACGAAGTGTCAATTATAGATGTCGAGGCTATCCAGAAAATCTATAAGGTCCAATATCCGCGAGGGTATTTCTATGAGCTTCGCGCTAGCATGGGCGAGAGGAACTTCGAACTCGGAGCGAGATTATAAACATCATGGCGAGTGGCGGAGACTATGGTGATCAACTGCTATGCATCGGTCAGCGGTGGTCGTGGTGCTGACAGTACTAGGGATAAAACACTTTCTGCCAAAGAGCTTGTGAATTACGACGGTTGCTTGCAACATCATGTTGAGAAATTTCTTCGGTTACTCAAGAAAAGTGAGAGAAGAGCGGTCAATACTATCAAGCTGACTGAGCGCTTCCAGGTTGATGTGTGAGCGCAATCCACAGCAAGAATGATATGCTTCATGACTGACATCGAGTAGTATAATGGATGTGTTTTTCTCGAAGGATAGTAAAAGTCAAGATGGCGGAGAACGATACCTTACCTTCAATCTCTGTTCAAAAGTACCTAGGCATAGCTGGCGTCAGCAGCATGGCTTCCTCGCAACTCTTCGCGTCCATCCAAGGCTAAATCACATCTGGATCATCGCCTGTCTGCGGAATGTCGGCGAGATTCTCTCAGGTTCACCAAGGGCGCCAGAAGCGAAAGCATTTGAAAGAGAGATCGAAGAGATAATAAGTGAAAGATGAATGAAGGCCACGCCCCAGCAGGATTCCATCCACCATTTCATCACCGGTGGTCCTGCAGGAAGACAGTGCACCCACAAAGAAGTCATCTCGAATGCCCAGGTAGCAGTGCTCGGGGGTTCCGACACGGCATTATTCACGATGAACCAAAGGCTGCGCTTTCTAGCCACAAACCCAGCAGTACAAGCGAAGCTCAGGGCAGAACTAGATACCATATGCAATGCAGGCGGAGAACTGACTGTCGAATCAACTCGCAAGCTTCCCTATCTCAACGGAGTCCTAAACGAGGGTCTCAGACTAGGGAACCCAGCTCCTATCGGGGTACCCGTAAAGACGCCCCATGGTGGTCTTCAGCTTGGGGAGACGTATGTTCCTGGGAACGTCGAGGTAAAGGTACCTTTCCGGGTAACTTTAAAGACTCTCGATGGTTCCCCAAGGGGGATCGCATCATCCCTGAGCGCTGGACTGGGGAAATTCCTGAGCTAGTTCGTGACCGTCGAGCCTTTACTCCCTTAGGTTATGGCGTGCACTCGTGCGTCGGGAAGCAGCTGGTTACGAATGAGTTGAATATTTTCATCGCGAAGACTGTTCATGAGTTCATTATCTTGCCAGGGGATCAGTATGATGAGGATACGTTTGTTCAAGGAACGAAGGAGTACATGGGTGCTCTGCTCCCGTCGCTGTACTTGAAGTTTGTTCCTAGGATAGGAAAGGGGGGGGGGGGGAATTGCACAAGTAGCTAAGCTGCGATCGAAGATGTGTTGATCGCTACATTTGTGGACTCCAAATACAAGTAATATGTAAATACGATGGTTCTTGGGGTAATGTACTCAGTTGAGTGACAGTTCACAACAGGATCTACTAGGACAAGTACTTTGGAACGGTGAATATTTGATTTGCTTTTTATTAATGCAAACAAGAACTTCAATGGTAGCTTACTAAATGCACGACAAAATCTAAGGAGTGGCAAGCATCAACTATCCAGAGGTTGATACTTATTGTTTATGACCCCAAAATCATCCGTCTCAACTCCTCCGTCTCCCCACTTTTATTGACCATATCCTGGAAGATGCCATCCTCTGTTTCTACCAACTCTGCAGGGCTTCCAAACTCTGCCGCAACACCATCCTTCATGACCAGAATGCGGTCAAAGTCTGCGACGGTACTGAGACGGTGTGCAATCACTAGAAGTGTGGTGTTCGTGAACGCCTCCCGAATGGATCGCTGTATCAGGATGTCAGTCTCCATGTCCACCGCGGAGGTAGCCTCATCGAGGATGAGGATCTTGGGGCGAGATAGAATAGCGCGCGCCAGACAGAGCAGCTGTTTCTGGCCCTGTGATAGGTTCGACCCGCCCGAAGCAACAGGCGAGGATAAGGACTGGAATATGTTGGTGTTTCCGATCTGCTCGGAAGCGGCAATGGTGGAACTAGCACCAGACTGATTACCCTGGTCGTCCTTCAATAGTGGTGTGCTACTTCCGGAGGGGATGAGGTGGACACGCGCCAAAGCTTCTCGGACTTCCTGGTCGCTGTATTGATTCAGGGGGTCAAGGTTGGACCGGATGGTACCGGAGAATAGAACAGGGTCTTGGGGAATGATGGCTAAGCGGGTACGGAGATCATGAAGGCGGATGTTGGCAATGTCGACTCCATCGATGACGATACTGCCCTTGCGGGTGTCCAAGAAACGGAAAAGCGCAAGAGATAAAGTAGATTTGCCTGTCATTGTTAGTTGGATAAGGAAGAGGGAATGCTGCAGGCAACTTACCAGCACCTGTCCGACCGACGACCCCAATTCTTTGGTTCGGCTCCGCAGTGAAGGACAGTCCCTTCAGGATCGATGGTAAACCTTGTGCATAACCGACTTCAAGCTCGTCAACCTCTATTCTACCCGTTTCGGGCCAGCTGGCCCTAATGCTGGCGCCGTCTGGGTTCTCGATGCGCAAGTCTCGATACTCGAAGATGCGCTCTGTTGCATTCATGAACAGCTCAACTCTTGTCGAAATTTGGATAGTGAAGGCAGTCAAGAAGGTGAAGCTCAGTGCGAAGGAGAGGGCGAATCCAGCCAAGCTAGCATCGATACCTGGGGTGTTTATCACGAAAGCAGCCACCGTAGCTGGAAATAAAGCGGCCACAAATCCTACGTGGAGATGAAGCCAGCTGCCGAGATAGCAAGCATACCATGTGCAGGCGGCGTAAGTGTCGATGAGATCGTACATCCGTTTATTGAATTCTTCTGTTTTGGCAAATGCTCGAATAGTGGAAAGCCCAGTCAAGGATGCAGCAAAGTGTGATATGACCGGCGACTTGCTATTGGATTCAATGCGCCTGATGTTTCGTGCAGCAGCAAGGTAGCTCCGTGCTATAAAGGCGCAAGATGCCAGTAGAAAGATCGCAACCAAGACCATAAACGGTGAGATGAAAATGGCTGCAACCAATATACCGACCAATTCCCAGAGGGTAATGGCAAAGTAATAGAACATCTGCGGGAGCTGTGAATCCAGAAGGCTGAAGTCTCCAGTAAAACGGTTCAGAATCCTTCCCGTAGGAACTGTGTCGAACCATCGAAGAGGCGCATGGAATACGCTGTGTAGCATATCTCTGAATATTCTCCGTGATGCGCGGACGGCTCCATAATACAGGTTGAATACCCGGCTAACGGCAACTATCACTGACAAGGTCGAAATGACGCAGTACAACCCCAGGTAGAACCACAGACTTCGGTTCTGAACGTTAATCGGGAGACTGCTTGACCTGCTCATGCAGACTGTATGCGTTGAATGGCCTGCCAACTGTATCTGCGGGTTGTTGTGTTGAGGGCATGATGTATATTGAGTCACCCCCTGCTCATCGCCATAGGCGTCTGCCCAGATCCTGATCCAGTAATTCCGAGCCAAAATCAATGCCTGGAACAACGCGAACAGACAAGAAAGAATTATCCAGAATGACCATCCTCCGGTTGCCTTGAGATACCCGGAATAGACTGACATCTCGACACGACCCGTGGCTCTCTTTTCCGCCTCAATAAGCTTCTTCGGGGGCCCCTTGGGGGCGGTAGGAGCAGAGGCAGCCGGCACTGTCAGCTCCTCCTCTTCCTCAATCAAGATCTCCCTGTTATCTGGTTCTTGGATAGATTCGAGTTCGCCATTCGCCTCTAGCTGGTCCACAGAACCTGCGTGTTTGAGGGTTCCGTCAGCAGAGAGACTAACAGCATATTTGGCTCCGGACAAGGCAAGCGACACATGGTGAGTGGCGACAATCCGAGTTCTGCCCACTGCGAGCTCGCCCATTACTGCGTTTTCATAGACATGCTTGCCCACATGAGCGTCGAGAGCGCTAAAGACATCGTCCATGATGAGAATTCCAGCGCGTGAATAGATGGCGCGTGCCAGACTCAAACGCCATTTCTGTCCGCCACTGAGACTGATTCCCTGGGCGCCGACTTCGGTCTCATCGCCATCCTCGAACAAGGCCAGATCGGTTGTCAGTGCACATGCTTGTAGCACCTTCTCATATCTGACCGGATCAAAGGGCAAACCAAAGAGGATATTGTTCTTGATTGTGGCATTCTCGATCCACGGAGTTTGGGAAACAAAGGCCATAGCCGTTGGCAGGATCCAGTTGCTAGCTGTTGCCTTGTTATCGAAGCGCTCCTGGGGACAGACATCTCGCGGGACATGGACGTAGCCACTCAGCACCTCCACCTCTCCCAAAATAGCCGCCAACAGTAAGGACTTTCCCGATCCCGTCGGACCCGAGATAATACTGAGAGCGTTGTTCGGAAATACCAGGTTGAGATTTCGCAATGCGAAACGGTCGGTTGCTGCATCCTGAGCATCGCAGGGGAAGGTCACGGATGCATTATGGAACGAGATGACCTCTCCCGGATGTGTGTTTTCTTCTTGCTCTGGCGCGCGTAAAAACTTGTCGATTCTGTCGGCACTCACCTGGGCGGTGATAACAGAAACTAACAAGTAAGGGATCCGCCCAACAATGCCCTCAAGTTGGAGGAACAGACTGATCGCTGTGAACGCTACAGAAGGTAGCAAGCTTCCGTGGATGTAAGAATATGTCGTAAGAGACAAGGCCGTCAGGACAATGGGCGTAAACTCCGAGCCGATCGTCATGTAAATATTATCGAGCCTGCTGCTCCACAGAACTGACAACTCCTCTTCACGTACAGTTTCGAGCTTGTCTGACCACACATCTTCAGCAGCGGAGAATTTGATTTGTCGGATACCATGCAGAGCTTCCGTAGTCATCGTGGTACGTTTATCCCGGATGTCCATCAGAGCCTTCTGTTTCTTACCATAGCGCTTCGCTAGGTATTGGTTGATGGGGAAAAGGACCACAATACCCAGAAGGCCAGCACACAAGCTTTCCCATCCAATGAGAAGCCACAAAAACGCCACTGTCACCAGCATTTTACCGATAATGTTCACACACTGGGAGCTTTCGGACGCAAAAATGGCGATTTGGTTGCAGTCGACCGCGAACATATTGATAATATCTTGTTCGGACTTGGAGGGTCCGTCCTGGCCCGACTGCGAGTAAAGAATAATCAGTAAGGTAAACACACAAGAATCAGGGCTCTCATACCTCTTCAATCTCGCCTCCTTCAGCTTTCGGAGGGTCGGTACTCAATTTCTTTCTCAGCAACTTACGATATACCAGCGAAGTCAAAGTCGACCGCAAGGCAACGACAATATAGCCTCTTTCCCACCACATAATACGCGAGTCCACCAGGGTGGAGCTCAAGGTGGCGATCCCAATCATCAGGACATATTTCCAAGCAGTTGGATCACGTACGTCTGCATTCTCTCGTGACTCCATGTATTGAAGAAGTTGCAAAGTTGCGAATGACGGCCCGACGTCGAAAAAATTGGAGATGAGAACCGCGATCCATTGACGCAGAAGCTGGACCCGAAATTGCCAAAAGATGCGGATCCACAGTGGTTGGGCGTCTGTCAAGGCCATGGCACTAAAATCGGTTGAGGCCTCCTTGGAACGGATAGCATGATTCATAGTCGGAAGAGCTTCAGATTCCAATGCTTCTTTGGCACCTTCGGACATGATCTCAGGAGCCCATTTGAATCTCAAACGCGACCAGAGGCTAACGGTCATCTCTCGGTCTATTTCCTTGCCGTCGTGGTCGAAGACAGCCGGGCGCCGTTCCACGCACCATATACCCGCGACCAGGGCCAGAAGAGTAGGCAGCTGCACTCCGGTCAGGATAGTGGTGGCGCTAGTTCTACTCACGTCGGAGACATTTTCGCCAGCGAGAACGGAAAAGGCAATAGCCCCAATCAGAAGGATTGTTGGCTGCTTCCATAGCACGCTGTCGAATTTCGCAACTGGGTGTGTCTGGGTGAGTGAGTCTGCGAATTGCACCAGCAGAAGTAGCTATGGAGTGTCAGCAGCCATCCCAATAGACCTCTCCGAAGGTGGGATCCAGTGGTAGGGGAATGTCGACGAACCCATGCT